TTATAGTATTCTTATAATCTAGAAGCCATAGGTCTACTTGAATAGGCTTACTATGTACTTCCTCCAGGAGGCCTATAACTACTTTAATCTTATCTAGCCTATGATCAAACCCCTGGACTACTTACAGGTCTATATATATATTTAAAAGGGTCTGGACTACATGCTCTGCCACTACAGCAAGTTCACCCTGTTAATATATATCTAGATTACCAACACACGCCTCTACATGTATAATATATATAACCTACTAATGACCTGACAGAACCAGGGCGTGGCTGAGCTATAAAAGATTCTCTAACAGACTAAGGAATAGAATAACTACAAGCATATTATAGTTAAGGATTTTAATATTTATAACCTGCTCTAGTCCCAGAGTAGTTATTTAAATAGTTCTTACAACCCTAAGCAGGCAGAGGAGCTCTGAATAATTATAGAATAGGTCTTACTATTAGTAGCTACCCTGAAGGGTTTACTTATAAGATCTTATTATGAAAGATACTGGTAATCCAGGAATAGTATAGATAATATAACACCCCCTAGGAACCAGGTCCTGATCATAAGAATTCCTAGCCTGGGAACCACCTTGGACCTTTACCTTATAATATAAAACCTCTAGTCCTAGACTTAGCATGTATAATATATAGAACATATCACAGGTATCTCAGACTATCTACTTATTAAGATTAAGTTTATTATTATAGTCACACCGCAGGAACTGGTAGAGAGGTGTAACTAAAAAGCTATAAATAAGAATATACTAGTACAGACAGTCCGGGACAGGCTTCTAGACCTAGTTATTACCTAGATTATTAATTAAAGCACTCTAGACTAGCATATTAGCGCCCTTGTCCAGGCACTAGATTAAGTTATTAAGAAATTAACCCCCTGGTCCCGACTTATTACATGATTAATATCTGGCTTTACCACTGAATGCCAGGATCTGTAAAAGAAGGCGTAATACCTATAGTATAAGGTTATGTAGTACTAGGTAATATATTATACTAAGACCCTGTGCTCCCTATGCAAGCGGGCTAACCAGGAATAGAAAGTGGCTACTAAGAGAATTTACTAATTTTATAAGACTGCCTACCAAGACCAAATCACACAGGTAGCCAAGGACCTGTGGTAACTCTAGAGCCTCTTGTAATAATATAAAGATTAGTTCTAATACTAGGTCTACATGCTCCTGATCCAAGACCTAGACAGGATCCTCTTTAAACCAGATAATAAGACCTGAGCCCTGGTGGAATCCTTCTTCCCTACCTCTCTACTAGCAGATCTTACTAACCTCTATAACTTTTCCTACCCAGAGCTATTAGGAATGCCTGATATTACTCTTACTAAGGTTAAGACTATAATCTATTATCCTAGACTTAATAAAGTACTAGGGCTAGACAGGATCCCTAATCAGGTCCTGTAGATTATAGCTAATAATATCACCTTGCACCTGGCTAATATATTTAACTACTACTTATACTTAGGATACTGTTCACAGCACTTCCAAGAGGCCAAGATTATTATACTATAGAAGCCAGGCAAGGATAACTACTCCAAGCCTAAGTTATATCAGCTAATTATACTACTTAATATAATAAGCAAGGTGATAGAGGGGGTCTTGGCTATCTGTATTAGTTATTTGGCTAAATAATATAGCCTGCTCCTGATAAATTACTTTAGTAAATACCATGGCTAAGACTGTAAAATAGTCCTTCACGCGGTCATGGAGATAATCAAGACTGCGTGAAAATATAGCTATATTATTATAGTATTATTCTTGAACATCTCTGGGGCCTTTAATAATATCTCTTACTAATAACTCCTGTATAATCTCTGCAAGCAGTGACTCCCAGGGCCCTTGATCATGTGGATTAGCTTCTTTCTTAATAATTATTATATCACCCTGGAATTACTAGAGTATAGCTGACCTTATACCTGTATCTAGACTAGCATCTCACAGGGCTCCCTGCTATCCCCTATTCTTTATCTCTTCTATAATATAAATATAATAGAGAATCATGGCGCCATAACCAGTATTAGCTATATTAATAATATTATAATAATCACTATCAGCCTGTTGGCCGTGGAGAACTGCTAGGTCCTAGCTAAGGACTTCTATACTATCAGGGATATGTAGTCCTGAACCTATATATTAGTATTTACCCCAGATAAATTTGTCTTAATATATTTCTAAAACTCTTATAGCCAAGGCTTCACTGCCTAACCCCTGATTAATCTGGGTAATAGCTAGATTATCCTAGCCAGCCTGTTAGCTAAGCTACTGGGGATCACCCTAGACAAGCACCTCTTATTTATAAAATATATCAAGCAGAGCATGGAGAAGAAGTATATAAGAGGACTACAGGGACTTGCCTCTCTGGGCTGGTCTAAATAAGGTCTCTTACTCACTAATAAATAGACCCTGTATAATACCTGCGTGGTACCCTGTGCCCTTTATATATTATTAGTCTGGCATGTCCCTAAGATACAGGGCCTTACTAGCTGACACATGCAGTAGATATATATTCTTAACTAAATTTAATAACACGCGGGTTATAGAATCTCTAGTACTTATAAAGTTATTAACAGCGCGGCCCTGGGGGCAGAACTCCATCTTATAATTATATAGTAATAAATCTAGTAAAATAACCTTTACACAGTTACCCAGATTGCCTTAATCCTAATCTATTAATAGATCTACTGAGACTGTATTCACTATTATAATTCTATCTTATAGAGTCTGTTAGAAACCCTAGAAGAGGAGCTCCTGCTACATGTGGATATTAATACCCAGGAGATAAAGTACTAGCTCCTGTTTACTATCTCACTGTGATAGAAGTTATCTTATATAGAGATTACTAATACCAAGACAGAGGCCCTGGCCTATTATATAATCTATGAGACTGCATACAGGGTTATACTAAAAATCTATACTAATAGCTTTAGCTATTACAGCAAGGTTAGTGCTATAATAATTATACTAGAACCCTGCCTTACTTGTAATATCTATCTCAGGATAGAGCAAGTTAGCATGATCCCTGTGATAGAAATAGTAGGAATTATCTTGGTATTATAGATAGCAGAGGAATACCCTGTGCTCTAGGGCATGATAAAGGTTTATATAGATAACTAGAGCACCCTTTATACCTTGCAGGTATTTAAGCAGGGATCTAGCTAATACCTACTATAGTAGGTTATTAAACTCCTAGAGGCGTGGTGTGTGAAAGAATAAGATACCTAGTTCTACTAGATCCTGGTGCATGTAGGGATGCCTAGGAATAAATTTACTAACAAGATAGCTAAGTATATCACAAGATAGTAACCAGGGGGATACTGTAATGCTCTTAAAGCTGTACTACTACCAGGCCTCCCGCCCAAGACTCTCTAGTCTATGGTAGACTAGCAGATTAGAGTAATAGCTACCAAGGCCTAGAAAGAGAAGTAGTAATATGTGAACCTGAGTAATCCTAGGGTCCTACTTTAAAGGTAGAAGCTGTAGATTAATAAAAACACGCTACGGCTCTATCAGGGTATAACCCTAGCTAAATAAAGTATGCTCCTGCAGGCCTGTATGAGGAAAATCAGGCTTAATAACTAGCTCTTTGATATTAAATAGACTAACTACTATACATGCCTGTAGTACCTGGCACGCTGGCTAGAGACCCTGTATTACATGATTATAGACTACAGCAGTTATAAAGGGCTCTGGTAACAGATCTAGAATAATATACTACTATATAATCTTCATAAAGTGTTAACCAATGTTAGGTATACCTAGAGAACCGTGTAGTTCCTACTAGGCACAGGCTAGTTTTTATATCTGCTGCCACTCCTGAAACTAGTAGCCCTAAAGAAGAGAATAAAGGAAATAGAAGGGGAATTTAATATAGATAATACTATAAATATAGACATAGACATGGATAGAATATACTATAAGAAGGACTATAATAATAAGTAAAGCCAAGCAAGAGGCATGAGAACTACAGGTTTTTTAATGCCTGTGTAGGGAGGTATAGGTAGCCTGCTAAGTATTATTACTCTTTTAATCTCTTTATCATGTATTAAGGATAAACATGATCCTAAGAACTATAATATTAGTGTAAGCTAATTAATCCAGAGGATTAAGAAGACACTGAGCAAGGGAACAAGGGAATAAATAGTATTAGTAACTAGCTAAACCACAGGGGGCTCTACAGATAAAAAAGCTGTGATGGAAGTGCTAGAAAAGGTTTTAGCAACTGGCAGATCTACAAGGGCTATGAAGGGCTACGAAGCTACAAAGCTATGAAGGCTATGCCAGGAAGGTTTTAGCAACTGGCAGGAACTATGGCGGGAATAGCTTCATGTTTGGCGAAAATCATGTGGAAATATATTTAGGTGTCTCCTCCGTCTAGAACCCGATTGAGGAGACACCGAGCGAGGGAACGAGGGAATAAATGGTGTTGGCAACTGGCCAAACCACAGGGGGCTCCACAGACGAAAAAGCCGCGACGGAAGTGCCAGAAAAGGTTTTGGCAACTGGCGGATCTACGAGGGCTACGAAGGGCTACGAAGCTACAAAGCTACGAAGGCTACGCCAGGAAGGTTTTGGCAACTGGCAGGAACTACGGCGGGAATAGCTTCATGTTTGGCGAAAATCATGTGGAAATATATTTAGGTGTCTCCTCCGTCTAGAACCCGGGGCCTTCGGCCACCGGCGACTCGGAAGGATCCCCGGAAGGGCGATATACTCGAGGATAATGCAACTCTCTCTCTCTCTCTCTCTCTAATATATAATACGACTAAAGCGAGCAACAATTTTAGGTCATACTACCAATCCTCTCTTCAAGCGCCCAAAGATAGGAATAATTAATTTACTTAATCCTAGCATTAATTCCCTCTATATGTGATGTTATTCTGTATGTGCCATACCGGAGAAATAATCTATCAAGTAGCAATGATTCGAATTGGCGTTCTATCATTCTATCAACTACATACAAATCAATTCCTTCCAGCAGTAGCGTTTATTGTGCTTCACTCGAGAATGTCTTCTCCACTCTCTGCCAGAAATTGTTCGCAACCTCCTGAATGCGCCCTTCCTCAAAATGCAGCGCATCGAACTCGAAGGACGACCGGAAGGTGTTGTCGTCGGTGATATGCATAACACGGACAAGGATATCAAACTGGACTTGTCAGTAACCCATTAAATATTAAACGGAAAAGGAAGAAACATACATGCCACGGGTCATTCGACTTCCTAATATCATCATCAACCCACAACGTCTTCGACTCAACCGCTGTCGGACGGCGCTGGAAGTTCACCGCAGTGTTAAACAGTTTCTTCCCACGGTGTAGCTCATCCACGACCTCTCGGATATTCACCGCAGAATGCATACTATCCTGTGCTCGCTGATCCTGCATCCGCGTTGCCAGCACTGCCAAGTCCTCTTCGGTTGTGTTCTCGCCCGCCTCGACCCCTTGTAGATGATATGCCAGGACATTAATCAAGGGACCAACCATGCTGAACGCGCCTGGAACATCCTCATCACGACCGGAGACAACATATTCAAAGCCGACATCGGACTGCTTTGTGAAAAGACTTAATGTCTGCGCCCACGCCGCGTCAAATATATTAGCGGGCGTAATGCCATGAGCCACACTGAAAGACGTCAACGCCGCAGCGGGGATCTCAGGGAGGTATAATATCGTTTTCTGTTTGCTGAAGTACGGAACCGGTCGGGATACATGGAATGACAGTAGTGCTGGGGGTTGGTTGCGCAGGTTCTCCGTCCAGTATGACCGGTCCTGGTCCGCTCGGTCTGGATGGATTTGTGCTAACACGAAGTCTTTGTATGACGGTGCTGCTTCGGGAATGTATTCGTTATCGTATGTCTCATATTCCTCTAGCAAGGCTTCCTTGATGACTCTTAGAGACCACCCGTCAATCACTAAGTGGTCTAGTTCGATGTGAATGAAGAACCTGTCTCCCCGTTGGGAAAGCAGTGTCCGGTGTGGGAGGAAACACTCGTCTACCGGTGGTATTCCCAGAGACTCAAGGGTTGGCTCTCTCTTTCTGGCCACATCTGAAGATATTGAGACAGTCGCGATCTCTGGCTCCGCATTGTCCAGCACAACCTGGATATGTGGCAGCTGGCCGGACGGGTCGATCAGAAAGATGCTCCTTAAAATTGGGAGCCTTTGGACCACCCTTCTCCAAGCTTGAGCCAATCTTTCCAGTGATATCTGCACCTGTCCATCCCGTGAGGCAATCTCCATCTGCCACGATAAGAGGAAAACGGCAGGATTTACCTGGCGCTGCCGTTGGATCTCGCGCTGCATCGGGGCAAAAAGGTAAGCATCCTGAACTACCACAGCGGGATGGTCGCGTAGACGGGCTTGTAGAAGCTTGTTGTACGGTGCTAATATGTCAGTCGTAGACGGTTGGCTCTGCTCGAGTTGTGCTGGCGATGCAGTATCGACATCCTTACTGAGCTGCTGCTCGACCAGAGACACCAGATTTCCGAGCGTTTTGGCGTTGATTATACCTCGAACAGTAACTGACAACCCCACCTTCTTTGCCTGTGAGACAATTTCAATTGCAGCAATGGAGTCACCCCCGATGGCGAAGAATGAAGTGCGCATATTGACATGCTCCGTTGGCTTCTGCAGAGCTTTACACCAGAGATTCCGTAGTGTATCTGCCAGAGATCCTTCGATTATCTCGCTCTTCCGGTAATCTCCATCAGTCTGCTGGTCTTCAACTATTTCCGTAAATGTGCCGTCATCCATATCATTCACCCAGCCCTTGATGGCCTTACGGTCAATCTTCCCTGATATCAAAAGCGGCAGCTCCTCAAGTAAAACCCAAACAGTGGGAACCATATACTCCGGAAGAACCAGCTCGAGACGCTGCTTCAACTGCTCCAGCTTTCCAACGGTATCAGGGGAATGTCTGTCCCTAGCTATCGTGAATCGATCCTGAGGGCCAGAAGCACTGTTCCCCTGGAGACCAGATCGATTGAAGCTCAGAACAGCCACAATCTGACGACGACACGGGCCCTGCGCTGGAAGTGCAACTAAAGTACTCGCCACAAGACCCGAGGCCATGATCTGGTTCTCAATCTCGCCGAGCTCGATACGATATCCACCCAGCTTCACCTGCGTATCACGGCGCCCAACTATCCGAAAGGTCCCGTCCTCGTTATATCTCGCCAGATCGCCAGACCGATAAAAGGTCTGATACGGACTCGAGCTGAGGTCTTTCAGCCATTCAGGCGCAGGGACCCAGGCAGAATCTGTCTGCTGCTTATCTCCAATATATCCACTCCCTAGCAGAGGTCCAGAGATAAGTATCTCGCCGACACAACCAATAGCGCAAAGCTGGTGATAGTTTTCCGGATTCGCAATCCACATCGTCGCCCCAATGGCGAACCCGATATGAGTTGGGTCAGCGTCTGGGGAAACCCGCAGATTACCAGAGCAGTAGACAGCGGTCTCGGATGGGCCGTACGCAGCAGTCAACTCGACATGGTCTGCCCATCGTACAATCGTCTCCTTTGTGATGGGCTCTCCGGCGAGGACAATTGTCTTCAACGTGGGGACGTCGTGGGGGTATAACAGATTCGCGACAGTGGGAACGACCAGCAGCGTGTTTGCATTCAGCGTGGAGATAGCTCCCGGGAGGTTATTCAGACGCTCCTCCTCTGAGGGTACGCAGATACAACCGCCGAATGCTAACGTAGTGAAGAATTCCCCAATGGAAAGGTCGAATGTATGTGCACCGAACTGCAGTGTACGCCAGTGCGGACCAGCCCCGAATGACTTTCCATGGTGAAGGATTGACGCACAAATAGCCTGGTGTGACATGAGTATACCCTTTGGCTTGCCGGTGCTTCCTGAAGTGAATAGCAGATACGCCAGGCTAGATGGCTGAGACAGACCTGGAGGGACTTGCCCGGCTTCAGCGGACTCTGGAAACTTGCCATCGACGGTAATTATGATATCACAGATACCTTTCAGTGCTGCAGAACCATTAACCGAAGCAAGACTGATTTTGATCTGCGCGGTCTTGACCACTTCAGAAATCCGGTCTCGTGGATGCGTCGGTTCTATAGGGACGTAGACGCCTCCGGCCTTGAAGACGGCGAGAATAGCCACAACCATCCAGAGGGACTTCTCGAAGCATACACCGATGAACATGCCCGGCTGCACCCCGATATCCAATAATTGGACGGCTATCAGGTTAGAGTACCTGTCCACCTCCGTATAGGTGAGGTCGCGCTTGAGTGACGAGACAGCAGTGGCATCAGGCTGCGCCTGCAGCTGTCGGTCAAACAGATAGTGAATACACGTCTCCTCCGGCGGTGGTGTGAATTTGTTCCACTCCTGGATCTGGGTAAGATCGTGGTTGCTTAACGGGGAGATAGATCCAACTGTCGAATCTCTCGTGCTCTCCGTCAACTGCGTGAGCACAGCCTGGAACTGGTGGCTTAGGTTTTGAGCCTGGATAGCTGACACCACACGTTCGTCGTGCTGGATTGTCATTCTGACTGTTGTCTCGGAACCAGGAGTACAGGTAATTATGAGAGCGTATGGGTGATGCTCTTTCTTGCCCAGCTCGTCTACATACTCAAGCCCTAGCGCCTTCATGGACGGCGCAATTGCATCTGCGAATTCCATAGGATGTACGACCAGCAATGTTTGGAAATCCACGCCTGTCCACGCTCTATCGGTCAGGGCCTGGCGTATCTTCGAAATACCAATGTGCTCATAAGGTATCATCTCGCCGGAATGTGACCGGACAGCAGACAGAAACCCGGCGACCGACTGCTGAGGATCCACACTGAGGGCGATTGGCACGAGATTAATTGTCGGCCCTGTCATCCTGCCCACGCCTGGCACAGGAGCTGTCCGGCCACTGTTTATTGCCCCGAAGACGATGTCCTGTGTGCCGGTGTAGTGGGAAAGGAGGATTCCCCACGCCGCTCGCAGAAGGAGAGCTTTTGTCAATCCCAGGGGTGCTTGCTCTTGGGGAAGATGTATCAGGTGTTCCGTCACTGTTGATGGGTTCACCTGGAAGTCGGGCTGTTGGGGTAGAGAAGGGAATGGAGTTGGGTTGAGGTCTCCTAGGGACTGTTTCCAGAAGTCCTCTTGTTTGCCCAACTGGTCATGGTCCGGTGCGACAACCGACTGGATGAACTTTGCGAAAGGGACGCGTGGTGTGAAGGATATACTGGCTGCCTGGAATCGAATTGCCACTTCTTCGAGCACTTCAGGGATAGACGCGCCATCGCACAATGCGTGGTGGGCATTCCATACAAAGTACCTTTTACCCGCATCATTCACGATAGTATAGCGGAAGAAGCGATCTCCAAGGGCCATTGGGATGCTTTCATCTTCTGCCAGAAATGCAGCAACACTCGACTCCACGGACTTCCATACAGGTACATCATCCAGGACCACCTGTACGTATCCCCTTGTATCCGGAATGCTGCAGATACGGGTGCGAAGAACCGGGTTTTCTCGTATCGTATATTCCCATGCTTGTTCGAGACTATGCACCGCCAGGTCTTCCGCCAGTCGAAATACAAATTGTCGGACATATGGATTTGTAGTGCCGTCGAACTCGGCGACGAGGGCTTCTTGCATGGGACTGCAGGGGTACACATTCTCGATCTTGTCTGTTTGTACATTGCACTTGGCCGCAACCTCGCCGAGGGTCTGCTCTAGGCCAAGTCCACGGATTAGGGTAAAGGGCTGGAGGTCGTAGTCGGTATCATCTTCCCTGACTTCCACTATCTGAGCTGCAGTGGCCATTTCTTCCAGTGACGCGTTCATGAATATCTGCTCCATCGTCAAATGAATTCCCTGCTTCCCGGCAGCAGTGAGGAGCATCTGGCTGCGGACCGAGTCTCCCCCAACATCGAAGAACACATCTTCGTCAAAGAAGCTCTCTGGATCATCCTGAAGGACCTCGGCCCAGAGGTGTCGCAGTCGGTCTTTGATATCGTGGACTTCGTCATTATGATCTGTGGTCTGAATATAGGTCAGCCGTGGAATCCAATACCGAACTATGCACCAACCAGAGACAGCGGGAATCGTTCAGAAAGATGGCCAAGTTCAGGCACAGCATTCCGCACGGCAAGCATATTGGTAGTTGAGCTTCCAGTTTCAGGCCGTGATCATAGTCAGTGTCGAGCAGGTGCAAGCCGATATAACCGCCGGGCCTTTAGAGCAAAACAGGCGGACCGTTTCGGAAATAGAATTGGAATCAATATACCGACGCCTTCCTAAACCGGCAAGTAGCAAACCGGATCGGGCTGGGGTGAAGGAATTGCACGATTACTCTGGGTTTTTACGGGTTCCTGAAGATCCGTGGCAACTTGGGCACGGATTATATCTTTCCTAAATAGGCAATATCGAGGCCTGGTACTCCAGGTTCAATATAAATCTAGATATTTTCAAGGTCAAGCTTATCAGATTTCTTGTAGATTACGGATTAGGATACTTGTCATTCAACACCGCAACAATGTAAGTTCAACCTTGACCAACAAGACACCAGCCCTAACCAAGCAGGCTCAACGCACCTGCAGAGAAATACAGCCCCTTCCCCCAGCTACACCTCCCCAACCGTAAGTGGCCCAACAAGGCCTTGACCAAGCCTCCTAGATGGCTGTCAACCGACCTCCGAGATGGGAACCAGGCGTTGGTCCATCCAATGGACGGCGCTGCCAAACTGCGCTACTTCCATTTCCTCCTTGAGCTGGGCTACAAGGAGATTGAGATTTCATACCCATCGGCGTCCCAAACAGAATACGACTTCACGCGGCACCTCATCACTACGGGAGCAATCCCTGACGACGTGACCATCCAGGTGATGGCACCCTGTCGAGAAGACCTGATCCGAACCACCATAGAGTCTGTCCGCGGTGCAAAGAGCGCAATAATCCACCTACACGTTTCAACCTCGGACTGTTTCCGCGAGGTAGTGTTCAATCTGACAGAAAAAGAGATGACTGAGCTGGCTGTTCGGTGTGCGCAAACGACCAGAGCCTTAACCAAAGACAGTCCCGATCCAGAAATGGCAGCGACAGAATGGACTCTAGAGTTCACGCCAGAGAACTTCCAGGACACATCGGTCTGCTTTGGGGTTTCAATCTGCGAGGCAGTGAAAGCTGCCTGGGAGCCGACAGTCCAGCACCCGATTATCTTCAATCTCACGTCGACTGTGGAGGTGGCCATGCCGAATTTGTTCGCGGACCAGGTCGAGTTCTTCTGCGATCACATAACCGAGCGAGACAAAGTGTGCGTCTCGCTTCATAACCACAATGACCGGGGATGTGCAGTGGCGACGGCCGAGCTATCCCAGTTGGCCGGAGCGGATCGAGTCGAGGGATGTCTGTTCGGAAACGGCGAGCGCACAGGCAATGTGGACCTCGTCACCCTTGCATTAAACCTGTACACGCAGGGCGTGCATCCAGGAATCAAATTCGAAGATATAAACGCAGTCGTCGACCTAGTGGAAGAGCTGACGAAGATCCCCGTCCATTACCGAGCCCCATACGCAGGCAAATTCGTCTTCTGCACATTTACAGGGACACACCAGGACGCCATTCGCAAGGGATACAAAAGTCGAACAACGATTGAGCAGAATCTCGGCCGCTCGCCAAGATGGCGCATGCCCTACTTGCCCATGGACCCAGTCGATCTAGGCAGGAAGCACGAAGCCGTCATCCGCATCAACGCACAGAGTGGAAAGGGCGGCATAGCGTGGTACGTCAACGACGTCTTCCAGATTGACCTGCCGCACGAGCTAAAGATCGACTTCACCAAAATGGTCAAGTCGTACGCCAATGTGAATGGGCTGGAGATTACGCATGAGATGATTGAAGAGCTGTTCCGGGACAGATATATGCTCTCTATCGATGCTGCTGAAATAGATCGTCTCAGTCGCACTGTGCTTGAGCAGAATGGTAGCGAGAATAAGCTGGAACCTGGCCAGAATGGGTCTGCTAATGGCTATACCAATGGCCATACCAACGGTGCTGGTACTCATGCAAATGGCTACATAGGCGGCCCTGTTCGCCCACCTGGAAGCCCTGCAAATGGCACACATGGTACAAACGGCACAAATGGACACTCCAATGGGAACACCAATGGGAATACCAACGGACATGCAAGTGGGAAGACTAACGGCCATAATACCCCTGGTCTCATTGAGTCTCTAGAGTCAAAGATTCTGGGCGCGAACGACATTCACGAACTTGGCGCTGACTCAGGATCGAGCCTAAATCATGCTTTCAAGCAAATTGGATTCGACGTCGAATTTCTCGACTACACCGTCCAAACCATCGAAAGGGCCGAGGAACTGGCTGGCCATTTCTACGAGTATGCAAGCTTCGTCAAGGTCGCTCCAGAGGGAGGATCCACGGCGCTTTGGGGAGTTGCTATAAACGAAAGCCCTATCTCGGCGTCGATTCAAGCAGTGAGTAAACAATACATCAAATTGTTTCGCCCATGCTAATAGATATAGGCCCTCGCCGCATTGGTAAAGCTCAAGGTCCGTGGCACAATACGTGAAGAGACAACAGGATGAGCAACTATACTGTATAGATTTGTATCAATGCTCTATAAGACTGCCTAGCAATAAAGAAATCGGAGTATCTAGAAATACCTTCTTCACACGAGAGTAGTAGCAATATCTCGCAGATCTCTTTTCAGCACCTTCCCAGTGGCATTCACTGGCAGTTCATTGGGAATACCTCCTCCATCTCCAAGCAGAAAGAAATGCTCTGGGGTCTTATGAGGTGCCAGCTTATTCCTCAGCCATTGCTTGATAGCCCTTTTCTGTAGACTAGCTCCTTCCTTGGCCTCTTTCGCTGGTTGTATGAAAGCCACAACAATCTCTCCCCAATAAGGATCTGGGACCCCGACAACTGCAGATGCAATAATATCGGGATGATAGTCCAGCACTGGCTCAATGTCACCTGGGAAGATGTTTTCGCCTCCTAATTCAACTCATCAGCCGTATTCAGTCACATATGAAAGGGCACACACCTCTCTTGATCATATCCTTCACCCGCCCAGTAATAGTACACCGACCAGCAGCATCAATATTCACCAAGTCTCCCGTTCGTAGCCAAGTCCGGCCTTCAGAATCTGTAACCAAGGTGTCCGCTGTTTTCTCGGGATTCTTGTAATATCCCCTGAAAGCAAGATATCCAGAGACCACTAGCTCGCCCGGTGTTCCGGGTGGAAGCGTATTCATATTCTCATCAACCACCCTCGCTGTAGTAAGCGGCATAACCTTTCCAACAGACGTATGCTGATCAACTAGACGAACCTCATTCGGATCCGTTAAGAAAACAATACACGAAAGCTCCGTCATGCCATATCCATACGCAAGGCCCGTGAAATTCAACACCTCTTCCAGCCGGGAGAGAAGAGCCGTAGATAGACTGGAACCAGCTACAATCCCCGTTCTAAGGCAAGCGTGCGGAGCATGTTTAGCAATATCGGGGTGATCCAGCATGGCCTGAAACATTGTTGGGACGGCATGCACTACCGTACACTTGTCCTCCGACAGAGCGCGGAGACTCGCTTCTGCGACGAAGACGTCCGAGGGGAGGACGGCTGTCCCTCCATATACAAGTGCTGCCAGGACTCCGCATACTAGACCGAAGCAGTGGAATACAGGCGAGCAGCAGAGGACAGTGTCGTCCGATGTGAAACGGAGTCTGTGTCCCACAAGTAAGGCATTATTCAACAGGTTGCTGCGAGTAATTAGCCTAGTCTATGGATATTGTCTGGTTACCAACCTATGTGATAGCATTGCCGCCTTTCTCGGCCCAGTCGTGCCACTCGTGAACTGGATACACATTGCATCGTTTGGGTCCGCCCGTCCCCAGTACGAGGAAACAAGGTCGTGTTGCTGGACAGCGCCCCCTTCTGGCTGGAGGAATTCCTCCCATGTGCGCACATCCTCAGACAACTTCGGTCCAGAACCAAGCTGCACGAAGAGCGAGACATTGCGACGCTTCGTTGCAATTTCTGCTATGAGCGGCCCATACTTGCGATATCCAATTCGGTCTGCGATGAAAATGGCACTTGGGTCTGGAATTGTTAGCCTGGCTACCAAGTAGGATTGGAAACTAACTTACCCACGAACTCAATGGCAGGTAAAATCTCATCCTGCGTAAATGTCGGGTTTATAATAGTGAAAATCCCCCCGATGGCACTGACTGCGAGGAACAGCTGCACATACTCGATCGTATTCCCAGCAAGCATAACAACGCGGTCTTGCGGGCGCACGCCCTGTCGTAGCAGATTTGTCGCTATCTCCCTGACAGACCTGTTCAGGGTTTCATATGTCAAACTCGACCCCTGCCACTTTGATATCACGGCTGTTTTTTCCGGGAAATGCCCCTGTTGCCTGTCGAGGAGCTGTGCGATGTTCAAGGGTGTTAGGATTTCTTCCGATGCCATTATTGTCTATATCTTGCAACTTAGCCAATATTTACCAACGATAGAAGCTTGCTACGGCAGGGACAGCCGTATACTAGTCGCCTTTTGCTATTTAGGGCTCGGGGTCCGGATTCTGACTTTCCTATAATGGCAAGTTTCGGTCTATCGGTGCCATTTTAGTCGTACGCTTAGTGCTTATACGATCCCCCAAGAGAGTCCACAAACGGCCGTATACTGGCCATTGTTTCCCAGGTATAAAGCAATATTCATTTACTGCGGTCATCCATTGTCTGTTCGATCTGCACCAGCAGGTGGTTTGGATACTCCGGGTCTCATTAAGCGACATTTCTCGAATGACCTGAAAGGCCCCGTTTTACAGGCAGGAGCGCATAATCCCCGCAATCGAATCATGACGGTAGAGCCGAAGCATGATGTCGGTGAGGTCGTTGAAGAAGTTCTCAGTCGTGGGCAAGAATGTAAGCGTACCGCTCGCAGGCTTGGTGGCTGGTATAATGCGGACCGAGCGTCCAGTGCTCTGAACATATGTCCATGGAATCACTGGCCCTGGCTTGCGAGTCATTTATGCCGCCCCTTTTGGATGGACTGCCCTCCTCCCTGTCATTCGCCTTCCTCTTTCGGGGAGGAACATTCAAAGAGGTGTTTGTGAGACAGGGTCTGGATGACTGTTCCCGAAAATAGAGGTCTCGTAACCTCTGCAAATCTTCCACTGTAGTTTCATCAACGGTACAAATACGTCCGCTGCCTAATGCCAAAATACCTCGGCGCAAACTTGCCATGGGTGCGCCATGCCACTGCTTGGTTTGTAATAATCCGAAATCTTCCGGGGAGACTCTCCCACCCAGCAAGTATGGCCTCAAGAATATGGGCCGGTAAAGGCCTCCGCCGGTAGAACCTTCCGGTAGCCGCCGTTGGCGGATAAGATGATCTACATACATAATATTTGTAGGTACTTCGCGGCGAAGAATCTTCCCGTCCTTTTCCGCCACTGCTCTTCTCTCCCGATCCTTCAGCTCAAACTCTATGAAAAAAGGGATATCGACAGGTAGGAATATGAAGCCCGGGTCTTCAGACCGATCAAATTCGACATGGCAGGTCGGACACAACGGTATCCCATTGTCGGCTGATGTCAAGGAAAAGTTGAGCAAAGACATGTCAGACCATAGGGGGATCTGTCTGACTGTTAGATTAGTCACATCATAGCAAAAGAGCACAAGAAGAATACTACTGACCTGGCCATCCTCGTTTCCAATGACATGGGCGATTTGTGGGGACAGGGTTCCGCAGGCCCAACAAGCGTTGCCTGATAATCGTTGTACCTCCAATCGGGTCGCGGCCGAAAAGGCATGAGATCTCGGCTGAGAGCTTGAAGTGTCCGACATGGTGGGTGCTCGTCTTCGATTTCTGAGAGTAGATGGCAGATCGTCGTCATTGGCGGAACTCGAAGTCGACTGGCCCCTCTGCGATGGGGGTGGGGGGTGGGGACATCGCTCTCCAGTCACTGGCAGCACGTCGATCTTCCATCGTTAATGCACTTGTTCAACGAAGGTGAGTATGTTGAATTTACCTATATTGAGAGAAGCTGAGAAGACAGGACGATGCAGCGTTCCTTCCCTTCCAATTTAGCCAGCAGCAGGAAAGGATGATTTGCAGGGTTCCTTCCTAGCCGGCAGCAGAGAAAAAAAAGTGTTGCTCGGTCCTGGGCAACCACCTTCTACATGACTAATTACTTAGTCAGCGTCCTGACACCCCGAAACTAAAAATCAAAAAACAAAATACTATTTAGACGTCCCCTTCGATCCTTTTCCGCATCCTTCGCGGGGCACAGCCGGTTCCGCAAGTCAATACCAGTTTGCACAAGATCGGTTTCCGGCATCGTTGGGAGACCAATTTCGAGAACGACACCTCATTAGGTTTCCGTAACATCAGTATAGAGAGCTGTGAATAGAATATCATCTACTGTATATTTCTACACACACACACACACACACACACACACATAATTCATTAACGCCTGGCAGCTGAGCCGAGAGAGCAACTATTACTAATCTATTAATACATGCATGTTTGGGTATACGCCGTGTCTCCTCAAAGCTCATACAGTGTTTCCTTCCATACATAGCATCTCCACTTTCAATATCATGGTCGGTCCCTGTGGTTTAGTATTGGTTAGTAGCATCCTTGGCACGCACGCTTGATTACGCCGCGACCCACGGAATGGACGTCGGCGACATTCTGACACTCGAGACTACCAACGCCAAGATCGGCGGCGCTTGCGATATGCTCCACAAGTTGTACAATGCCCCGGGCCAGGGACTGATCGCCTGGGGGCGGATTCTGGGTTAGGAGGTCATTAAGCGGCTCCCATTCATCAAGGACTTGCTGATGAGGCAGGCGGAGGGTTGAACCACTGCCTTCCATGGGGATTCTACTATACATTATGTGGTTTAATTGTGTGTTTCAAGGCATTTCTGTGCGGATAGATAGATAGATGTATGATATGAAGGTATCCAAGATGTGACAAGACTGCGAAAGCCGATGGGCACCACCTTTGTAGGGTCTAGGATTCTCGGTATATTTCATGAGCCTAAATCGACAGAAACCCCACAGATGTTCCAATTCTTTCCCAAACCCACACGTCTCCTCCGTTCTATCTGCTCAAGACCTCATCCCACCTAATCACAGGGGAAAGTGCAAGTAACCTCGCAGCCATCACTAGTCAGGTTCACCCAGTTGTCCTTCAAGCAACCCTCCTTGTTAAAGTCACAATGCTTACTAGCATAGTCTAAATAGCCATTGGTATTATTAAAGTTGGTGATAACATTATAACTTAATTATCAGCTACTTAGTCCAGCAGACAGCCCAGCTCCATAGGAGAAATATACCAGATTTTATAAGACAGCTATAATTCATAGCAGTAATCATGACTAACCTTGTTACACTATTCAGATAGTATCTTTATGCGGTTATCACTATAGTCAAGAGTAATATAGCAGGAAAAAGTTTTTTCTCCTCTACATACTGAGTTCTGTGTCCGTGATATAAGATTGAATAAGATAGATTTAGATTATAAGTATACTTTAATAAGTCTCTTCACATACCTGGATGCGTGAATATCCGAGTTAGAAGATAAATATGGGTTTACAGGATTAGAGAGCTGTTACTGAGCTGCCAGCTACTAGAGTAGCAAGCATGACAAGATAGTACTATGAAAGCATGATAGTAGTAATTATGAAGGTTGTAGGTAAGAGTCTGTTACCATTAAGAGTGGATATTTCTACTATTACTTTGGAAGGAGATGGTTTAAGATATTCAAGAATAACCAAGAGATGCGAGCTCTTATTTATAGCCATGACCAAGACCAGTTTGCTTCCCCGTAGGGTTGCAGTCTGTTCATATAGGCTGACTGCAACGCACGACATTCTGCCTGGGGAAAGAGGCGCGGCATATCGTACGATTGTAGCTGGTCTAAAAGCATCGATCCTTGAAGAAATCGTAAGCACTATGCCGGATACGCCTGATGGGCACGCGTGATGGATGCGCTTGACATGGGTTGACATGGGGGTTGACATCAGGGCCGCTGGGGGCGCAGGTCAGGATGATCAAGAATGCACAGGCTATCTTAGTGCAGCGCTAGCCCACGGGGACTTGGCCATTTAGTGCTCGCTTGTAGGAAATGTCGACACCTGCCTAATTAGGCCTAGCGCCCCGCTTGCCAGAGCCTTTCCCTCGCTTCCCATCTAGATAGCCTTCATAGTCCTCCATAGTTCTACATAGCCTCTAATACGAGTCTATCTCCCCTTTTCATCCTTTTCCATCGAGGTTCCAACAGGAAACATGCAGCCTGGCCCTTGCGAGCTGAGGACGTTCCTTAGTTCCCATAGGGGCCTCCACATGGGGCCAATTTGGACAGGTTAAGACGCTGCATAATACGGGCGCCACCCCTGTCATGCTAGCAGGGCAAACGGCATTTGCTCGCTCATCACACCATCAGTAAGCCAACTAACGGCTGGCCAACTGCCAACTGCTGCTGCTGCTGCTTCTCTCTCGTTCGCTGCTGCGGCTGAAGCCTCGGCGGACCCCTTAATGAACAAAACCTCTTCCTGCTGAGCAACGCCCGCGGCCCTATATTAAAGATTGAAGAATGTACTGGCGAGGCTCTGCTGGGCAAATCTGACTCTCTCTTCCTATTTTTAGTCCTGCTGCTGCTGCTTCTCTCTTGTTCGCTGCTGCGGCTGAAGCCTTGGCGGACCCCTCGATGAACAAAACCCCTTCCTGCTGAGCAACGCCCGCGGCCCTATATTAAAGATTGAAGAATGTACCGGCGAGGCTCTGCTGGGCAAATCCGACTCTCTCTTCCCATTTTCGGTCCTGCTGCTGCCCGTTCCACTGCTTAAGATGACCCCCCAGCAGCGCCGCAGGTCTCGCAACAAGAACATCCCCCACAATCTCATCCAGAATTGGCAATGCCCCGGCGCTGAGGGTGCAAGGCCTGTGGTGCGCCGGCCAATCACCGCCTGTGAATCGTGTCGCTCTGCAAAGGTCAAGTGTACCGGGCCCCAGAATGCCTGTGATAGATGTACGACCCGGGGTATCCCCTGCAGATATACTGCCCCCTCCACCTCCTCCTCCTCCAGCTCGCGTCCTACCACGGCGTCCATGAGTCGTTCCAATAATGTCGACAGCTCCGTCTCGTCGTCCATTAGTCACTCGCCCTCCACGGTGAATACGCCGCTATCGGGGTCACTCAAGTCGTCCGTTCCGATGACGATAGAGTGGGAGATGGACACAGCCGACCCACTGCGCCTCAACGATGAACCGCACTCGCAGGACCTGAATGGCGTCGACTGGCCGAAGGACATGTCAAGCTACCTATTCGACTGGTCGTCACTCGACCTAGGCCAAAATGTGCACCCCCCATCCCCTCTACGCTACCTAAAACGCAACTAACCTAAGTAGACTATCGATCCTTTAAATACGCTGGGTGCCGGCGAGCTGGATGTCTTCCCAGCAGCGGCGCAGTCACCCCTCCTAACAAACCAGGATCGTAGTGCCGGGCTGGCTACAAACACAATCCCTGCTCTCTCCCCGCCACAGGGCAGCTGCCAGTGCCGCACCAACCTCATGCTACAGGTGCCCGAGGTCCACGAGGCAATGCAGGCCAAGCCGCATCCGCAGCTCGACCGGATATTCAAAGTCACAGGGAACGTGCTCGGTGCATGCCGAGATCTCATCATCTGCGCTAGCTGCCAGGTTAGCTACGCTGATCTCGTCTGTGTTGTTGCAGTGCTGCAGCAGACGGGGACTTGCTTCGAGAAGATCGCCAATGGGGGCATGACGACTAGCACGATCAAGGTGTGTGTTGGGCAGTATGAGGTCCCGATCGCGAATGAAATCAAGCTGCGGCATATGCTTGTCATGGACCTGGTGGCGCAGGCCAACTGCTTGTTGTCGCTCTTACGGAATCGGGGGCAGAGTCTGATACAGTCGCAGGGGCCGGCGCAGGACCGGCTCACGCAGATCAATATAGATTACATGCAGGAGGTGGTGAAGAATTTTGAACAGACGTTGCGATCGATAGCTGATTCGCTTGATAAACCGGTGTCAGATAGTTAGTATATTCACGATTCATGACTCTCATTCCTTATTAAGTACATGCATACGCGTAACTAGGTAGCAGTGATAGCCGTAATGACTAGGACTTTGAATTTAGGGAAAGGGGTCTTGTCTTGTAAATTTGAATGCAGGCTGAATCGGTCAAGTACGGAGCAAGGGACTCGCATACGGCTTGGTATGTTGGCAGACATTCCGCATTTTGTCTATCCCTCCATCCCTTGTGGCCGATCAGTATCCCCTTGAAGAATCGTCCTTTTATATCACAAACAATAAAGCTACAGTCTAATATATTCTACTCTTTTACTTTCGCAGCTTGCACTCCCAGGCCTTAAGTCAGTACAATGAAGATTGTAGAGGGCATCAATACGATTGAGAGTGAAGAATAAAATTCTAGACATATTTGGTAAAGAGATATGATATGTTAATGTCCATAATTTACTTCTTACGCCTTCCCTTTATGGTTGGCTATCGAAGGGTTCGATCCGGATGCAGATGATGCACCATAGGGGTACAATATTAGCATATATTAACACCCAATGCAGTCGTTACCCGCTTCACCTATTCTGTCCATATCTCTTTAAATTCCAGTATAAGAGTCTAAATGTCAAAATGATGATTTTTTTCCATACAAGTCTTTAGATACGGCTTAATCTGGGAAATGATCTGAATCTGTCAGCTTCTTTAATGTTCCGATACTTTAATGACGCTGAGCGGGACGCTCCTGGTGGTTTCAAGGCATATAACACCTATATAGGAAAAGAATGTATAAGTATATCAATCCTTGATCAAATTAATTTATTCTGGTGTCGAATCTGGTCAGACGGCGCCTGAAGCTTCAGGCAGAAATGCTTACGTGATCCGCCACTGGCTTCTGTTTCACTTTCATCTTCATCTTCCATCACCCAACTCCTTCAAATTCTCATCGCCTCTTCGGCGAACGGCAGCATGACTTCGCCGAAATTCATCGTTAGCATGCCAGGTTCAGGGCCGCCGGCACCCCGCACAGCCAGGCGTAGTCAGGTCCCGCGAGCCTGCAACTGGTGCCGCGTGCACCGTCTCAAATGCGACTCTGACTTTCCCTGTACTAACTGCCGAAGGAAAGGGGGAGAATGTAATAGTGACCGACTAGCGAAACCGGTTACTCTGCCTCAGGCGTGTCGGGAAATTGACAGGCTCAAGCAGCGCGTTGAGCAGCTTGAGAATGAACTCCAGAACGAGCGACAAAAGCATCGTTCTGTCCCTGTAATGGAGACGCCGTATACCCCCGATGACAGTCCTAAGGATACTACGGTTAATGTTACCGTTCCTGAAAGTGCCAGTGGGAAACGCTGGGAGGGGATTTATATCAGTACTGCCCGCTCGCCGAACAAGACGTGGTACGGGTCATCGTCGAGATCAATTCATGTAAAAATCGCTATATTTAGCTGAATTAATAGATGTTGGTTGAGATGAAACTCTCTAATGTGGTAGGGTGTTCCGAATGGCTGTGTGTTCCGAATGGCTGTGTGTTCCGAATGGCTGTGGATTACGTTAGTTAACTAGTTAGTTAACTGGGACGTACATAATTTCCAGTCATAAACTCTACCCCGCCTTCTGTGCTTCTCGCCAGATATCAAACGAAGTGCGGTGGTGAGAAGAAAGCATACAGCTACACTTGACAAAACAAACTCACCACACTAGCAGTCTCAAAACTACTATTACACTCGGAAAACGATCGCCTCTGCTGTATACCAAAGCGATGTCAGGTCTTCATATACACAGGAGTTGCGAATCAAGGAAAGGAGACTTTCAGAACAGCATAAGCAGGAAGGGGCGAATTTTCTATCAGAGCTGTACAACGAGCCACTTTCGACCACTCTACAAGCCTACTTTGAGAGGTTGGAGAAAGGCTCTCTAGCTTGGGACGTGGATAACTTTGTCGAAGGCGCAAAGCGGCTCGCCAACCTGAGTGGATCTGAAAGAGACTTGCATTATAGCAGGTCATTAAAAGGGCTACATTATCCGACCTCACTTACGGAATTGTGGAACCAAACATATCCTGAATAGCCCATCACCGTGTGGGACATCGATTTCCAACACCAATGTTCCCCCAGTTGGTCCAGCAAATGTACAGAACCTTCCTGGGCGTTAACCTACGGTGGAGACGGACCATTAAGTCAAGGTCTGAGCGAATTGCTCCAAGGACCCACTGCACTAGACTGTGGCATGTTTTGCCAACTACTACTATGGATGGCAATTCGTTATCTCATAGGGGATGGGATATTTAACAAATAGCTCGATTTTAAAAAGAGGCGGTTCGCTCTAATGCAGACATGGGACACCAAACCTGACTGGACTCCTTATATGGACATGTGAGAATGCCGATCGAAACAGTATTCGTAGAACCATTTGGTGTCGCAATCCATTTGCTCCTGTGAGCTCGTTTGGTGCGAGCTCACTTGGTTTCCTTATTCCTATAAGAAAAGCAAAAGAAACGCTGATGGTACTGGCTTCTGAAAGGCCTGGCAAGACATCTCTCTAATTACCTCTTATACGTCCTTACAAATAAACAATCGAGCTACATGGTAAACAGCAAACCTGTGTTCTACCGTCCACGAAATGTTGTTCCGAAGACTCGCTAGAAAACTATGGACGGCTTTTAGTCGATTCAAGTATCCGTGAGTACTCCGGGTCTGCCTTGGACTTTAATAACAATCTTAGTGTGATCCGGACATATGGAATCGATGGCTTAACTTTATGCGTATCATCGAAAACGCTCAGGGAAATAGGGCTCTCTGACGGCGAAGTACTTGGCTTCGCTATAACGACGAACAGCGACCGTTTATACTAGAGAGAGATAGTCGTGTAAACGAAGACACTCTTCTCATTAGCGACACCGCAGGAGGAAACATGGGCCTAGAAAATGGCGATAGAGTCTGTCTATTTAAAAAAGAGTCACCCAATGCAAGTGCTCTGCAACGGCTGTATACCCCATAAGCTAACTTAAGCAGGCAGATTTTATTATCCTTTATCCGGTGGGTGATGATACCAAAAGCTTAGCGGGCTCCTTACTATCCGATTTTATATATCCTTATTTCAGTGGCAGGGTGTGCCCGGTGCACATAGATGACCATTTTACGATACACACAGTTGCAGAGGATGCTACTTTTTGTGTACTTGGCATAGGACCTTGGGAATATGGCATCGTCACACCAGAAACACACATCATGTTGGCCAAGTCAGTCGAAAACGAAGATGTGCCCGCACCCTCTGAAGACGCACTCGAATGTGCAAAACAACTTCGAAGAGAGTTGGACTACCTGAGTACAAAAGACTATGGGAGACGCATTGTTGACTTTGCTGGCTATACTCAGAGGTTGACTTACTTATTGGAGGCTCCTCCTTTATATAAAGCGCCAGAGGAACTTCGAACGCATATTAGCCGGCGGAGTATTTGACAAGGGTGCTATGTAGCTGCTAGCATCCCAAATTATAACACAGTGGGTCCCTAAATGACGCATCTTTCGCTTTCTCCAATGCTGGAAGTATTTGGACCCTCAATCTGGCTATCGACAAGAAGGTAGTGGAACAGAGGGCAGCATTGAGCATAAGTTACAAGCGATCAAATACTGAGACCAGAGACCATCGTTATATCTTCGCAATAATGTTTGATGGAGCTTTCAAATAGCTCGGACTCGTTTTTGCTCGTGGGTCTGCATCCCGCATAGCTTCCTCTTCTTCCATCCCCATTAACTACTTCCTTTTCGTCACATAATTCAACGGGGAACATTGAGGTTAAAGCGTGGTGCGATATCAATCACATCCACAAGCTTGATTTCCTCGTAGTATTCGCACAGGCTTGCGCAGAGGCCTTTAAACCTGCAACTATTCAAAATGCATTCGCCGCAGCTGGTTTAGTTCCATATGGCCCAGACCAGGTCATTTCAAAGCTCGATATTCAACTTCGGACATCGACCACCCGCCCAAAGGTAGTCGACCAGGGAGCCAATCGAGCGCGTGGAGTCCCAGAACCCCAGCAAATATCAAATAATTGAATCGACAAGCTTCGTCGATCAAGAATTGCTTAACCAACGCTCGCAAAGCCCTCCAACGCTTACAAACATAGCTATTGATCAGCTTCTCAAGGGCTACCAGCGATCATTGGGGCACAGGCTTTTTCTACCGGGATAGTTTGGAGTCTCTAGGTCCTTATTCTGGTCCAATTGTGGAAGTACACGGCCTTGACCATGCAGAGGTCTAGATTTCACCTTTTTCAGATGCAGCGAAGGTGTCCTAACACTCAAAATTAACCACATGAACAGATAAGAATTGTGCCAATAATAGATACATAATGTCCAATAATCTGTCTAGAAATTCTTCAGGCCTGAAGACCTGAAGTTGTCGGCGTAGCGTGCACAAACAGGTTCCTTCTTATGAATGAGGCGTTTTCGCACGACATTTCCCGTTGTCGACTCCAGTGGCATGCGTTTTCTCAGCCAAGACACCTCCTCAAAATCAATCATAACAACACGGCCAGAATTTTCATCCCAAAGTATGTTGCGCCATTCATCATCCTCGTTAACAACCCCATACGAGCGGAGGACGTTCGCCAGCCGACCCCGTTCGTTATTGAAGAAGGGGGCATTCTTCTGGTTGATTATACTTTGAACACGGACCCCAGACCAGCTGAGGATCATCATATCAGTCATAAGTTCACCATGATACCAATATGCGATGCGAGGTTTGAAGTGTCCAACGCAAACAGGGATCTGGCTTCCCTGCAAAGAATATAAACGATTGTACACGGTCCTTTCAGCCCGCAGACTGTGCTCTTTTGGCGCCGTAGTAGCTTTGATCACAACAGTATAGCCGTGGGACAGAAGTGATGCTTTTAGCAAGTAGCCCGTTCGACCGCATATATGCAGTTGCTCGAAGCCGTTGTTACGATCCCGCAAGAGCTGCTCATGGAGCCGCTGTATAAACACTCTTGGGGCAAGTGGATGACGTCCGGTGCCATGTTCCCCAAAATTAGGACATCCCGGGTCTAGGCGACCGCGACTGACCAGGCCACGAATGCATTTCATGGTACAATATGGTCGAGTGGTCCTCGTGGAATCCCTCGAATCAGCTGAGTGTTTTTGTTCACGGTCTGGCTGCCCTCGTCCCTGCCTACCCAGGCCACCCCGGCTGATTCGACTGCGTGTATCCGTTGCGGGAGACGGCGAGGGAAAGTCACCATCACTGTCGCTGTTTTCTCCTGAGCTCCCCTCTGGTGTTGTTCGATTAGGCTGACAGCGAGCTCGAGAGCGAGTGTTGTAAGGCGACCGCTGAACAGGCTTCCAAGACAACGGCTTATATTCAGAGGAAGGAGGGTCTTTCCGCACCGATGGAGGGATGTCTTTCAAGACGTCGAGATATTCTACCTTCCATGTCAAGAGCTTCTCTCGTGCCGCGTCATACCATTCCTGAGGCGGTGGTCCAGTAGCCAGTGCATTCAGCGTGAATGCAAGTACTTGACCAACAGCTGTTCGGTGCAGACGACATTCTTCATCTGGTAGGACATCTTGATTGGGAACACAAAGATGATAATATACCCGTGTTGGGTCGTCCGGAATATGAAGAAAAACAAAAGCCTCTCCAGTTAAAATGTAGCCGTCTTTGACCCCGCTATCAATCATATAAGAGAATAACTGTGTTATGACGGCGGTAACCAGACGGGTAGCATGGAACTCGTATCATGTTTGTATTGTGACGACGTGACCATTGCTATCCGCAACTTCGATGTCCGATCTACCGAAATACGCAGGTTGTGGTCAATGCGAAGGATGCAGTAAATGCGGCGTCTTTACACCTGCGTACTGTATTTCATACTCGGGTTTGCATCGCGGAAGCATTGTGTAGACCAGGGACCGTCAACCACGAGCAGTATCGGGGCAATCTTCCCATTAGAGGCTCATGGTTGCGGCCCGCACAGATCCCTCGGAATAGTTAACAAACACGAGATTTCAACACATTTGGCGTTTGGTGTGGTGGCAGTGCCAACAGGAAAATGGGATGTCAAGGCGCGCTCGGATCCCACGTATTCAAGGACTGTCGGGTCCCTTTGGACATTCCCTTCGGACATAAAAGGCCCAGCATTCGATGAATTATGTCTCCAGTCAATCTTACTCTATTCACAATAGCTCGAGGCAACAATGGAGACTGCAGCGAAACCAGCCGCGTCAAGGCGTCAATCCTGGTCTTGGCCGGAGGATTCCGGCGAGAATGAGACTTTCACCGATCTGAATCCCACACACGATACTAATTCGTCATCTCGTCTGGCTCACGCCAGATTTCCCATAAATATTGCACAGCACATTGAGCCACCGCCGGGGTTTGTTTGGACATCCCCTAGCAGCGAATTTTGCCAGCCTTTCGAACCAGTTCAGCAAAGCATCGTTCAAAAAAGGAATGTTCGTTACCCTACAGGGAACTCTTTCATCAGACATGACCATGTCGAGCACATTTCCTACCACGCCCAGCATGAAACTGGATGGCATCTCAGTGCAGAACGCCCCGGCGGCCCTACTACAACATTATCATATACCTCTAGATCGACGGGTCCCATACCGTGGTGGGGGCGGGCTCTTATTGGCACTTGGGTTATGATTTGGCTGACGATGATGGTGTATTATGTATGGGGCTGGTGGATGGGCTGGTTCAAGGTCAGCGCCCAACCAACATCTACGTGCTGGAACATAGGGATTCCGATTGGTCCTGTTTATATTGGCTATGGATGCCGGGGCTGGTTTTTGGAGTTCTTTGGGTTCATCATTATATAGTGCGGGAATAATGGCATTGTTCCAGCGTGTTTTAGTATGATGGCGACTTGCATATATTGATGAAGTGAAGTCTATGGTAATCATGGAGGAGATATAACAAGATTAGTATAGTTTGATAATATATTATTGTTATCTAGTAATTTTAGAAGCTTTGTGATATTGAGGCTGGTTATAAGTATGCTCTTGACCAGATATGCTCTAACTATATAATTAGGAATATAATTAGGAATGAAAATCAAATTTTCAAGCCTGCTATGCAGTCTTCAAGTCCCTGTAACTTTACAGCTTGGCCATGCCTTTGGCACAGTAAGTCTTGGAGTACATTTTCCACACTCACCACAACTGATAAGAATAATTCAGAGATATCCTTGAAGCAAAAGATGTACGCCTTCCCCTCATCCGCCTTGGTGAACGACAGGTTAAGATTCTCGAGAAATCGTCCCATAATGGTCCAAAGATTTTGATGAACAGGGGAGTGTGCGACTGTAAGACTATTGATAAGGTTCTTCAAAGAGTGTGGATCGTAGACACCTCGGCTCGTGCCGTTTGAGAGACGTCGATAGCCTCGAATGAGGCCAATAATCCCCGTCAGAAGCAAATAGCACTGCATTCCACCTGACGATATTTCCGCACGGTTATCAGGTGTGATGTCGTCCGGATGGACAACAGTATTTTGATACCAAAGCTCCCAAAGGCATAGACTTGCATCGTTGAATCGCTCTGATATCCGCTCTCGTAGAAGATCGTTGTATATATCTTCTATTTGGTGGCTTTGGTTGCTGACAACCCAACGGACAGTCCATTTCCTTATCTGGTCCAATCGAGATCCCAAATGGCGGACGCAATACTTCAGGTCCCTAAAAGCTAGATGTAAGTGTGGCTTGTACCGAACAACTCTCAAGGTGGATTGCGTACGTTTTACATCGGTCTAAGTGACGTTAGCAAAGACTGCCTGCTAGGATAACAATAAGGTGATATACTTATTCCGGCTCTGGCTTCATCTCTGCACCTTTTCTTCAAATCGTCCATCCACTCTTCCTCGCTCCAGGTACCTTCATATATACGACACGCTTTCGCAACGTTTAAAAGCAATAGTTGACGAAAGCAACTGTCGTAAGGATTGTAATTCTTTGCAAAGCTCGGATGAAAAGAGTTCACTCTTTCGATACCTGATCCAAGATGTAACGATAATTTTGGTTCATCAAAATCACGGCCAACACCCAAGCTTCGAAGCTCGGACATAGTCTGAGTAGTTTCGCTATGCTTAGCCTGGCCCCACATACAAAGTACTATCTCTGGATTTTTCGTCATGATGATGCGGCTGGTGACCCGGCGTATTCTCAACTTGTCCCCACTCGAAAGCTTGTCCTGCGGTCTGACATACGGTAGGGAATCGATGATAGACAATTCTGAGCTCCCTGTCGAGATAGTCCCACATGAGACAGCATTGAACGCTTCGTCCACTGCAGAGAGGGTTCGTGATTCGTTGACTACCGCTTCAATTCCCTTCCAATAGGGATGAAATTTCCAAGGCTGCTGTAGTAGCACAGTGATCCCTCCGGTAGTTCGGGGCCCTGACAATTCAAGAGTTACATCAACTTCATCTTCAGATATATGTCTGTCGTTCCGTTGAACAGCAAGGCTTTCTAGCAGTTGTGCATGTACATGGTCTCCTTGCATCCTGACCTGCGTTTTGGTGCGGATAGGTTTGAAGAGGGAACGAATCCGATGGTCGATGGCAACGGCCAGACATATTTCTGCTGGGGACGAGGTGCCGGAGGACATATTTGACTTGATAGAAACAAGAAGGTTAAACTTAATCGAGGTGGAAGAAGTAAATTCGACTCCGGTTGACTCTAACTCCGCGCTGTATAAGTGATAGAATATAAAGTGCCATCTGGTTCCCGGCCAGCAGATATACCCTAGGCTCGTGTTAGACACCGTGGCGACGGCTTCCTCTACCCCTCTTTTTTAGGACTGTTCATGTACTGCCGTCACGACGCGCATGTAAAACCACACCAATCATACATCGTGCTTGTCTGGGGTGCTGAAATGAATGGGATACATATGACGCGAGCCCGCAGCCTAATCTCTCTTCAATTTCATCAAATGTTCTTTTCAGAGAAGTGCAGTATGTAGTGGCATATTTTCGTTGCTAAATTACCATGAATTGTTAAGTCTGTCATTCTATGGGATAATCCAATAGGACTGTAAGTCAAGAGGGATAAGCGGATATCGGCCCAAGCTGGCCCAAGCCTCCTTACATTGACTAGACCCTGGTCCGAACGCAACTACCTGCCTACACCAGATACTAATCAGTACTGATGAGCTTGTAAGGTATGGTCATGATTCTAGCTGAGCATGCGGGGCAGGTTTCCAGCTGTCAGTTCGTGCTAGGCCAAATATCGTCAGTGGAACCATAGAGGGAAACTGTCGATGTAGCGCCTAAACCTTCATGGATTGAAAATCAATACGGTATCTCCATTTTGACAGCTTGTGATCTCGATGGAAGGTATTCCAAATATCCCGGCCATTTCCCGTGCGGAAAACATCGCTCTGCTATCCCTCCTCCACTCAGTAAACTGTACGAGCCCCCTCCAAGTTATCCCTACAGCACCATCATCAAAATATCCAGAGCACTTTGATTTAGCAAAGAAATATGAATTGCCAATTGACAAAGAGCGGAGCTTGGTCGGTACTCTGTCTTTCTTAGCACAAACAGAGGAGGATCCCAACCATATCCCTGCCATCTGCGTCGAACAGGACACCAACAAGTTGAACGTACTTGTCGCGATAAACAAAAGCAAATGGTCTGACGGCGATTCCATACTTCATGCGTTAAAAGAGAGATTTAATACAATTTTTGCCATATTGCAAACTGTATTAGAACGTGAGTGGCACAGTTTGCATTGTTATGTTGCAGATCTGATATCAGATTAGAAGACTCATCAGTCGTCGAGAGGGCCTTGTTCGCGAATATAGTCGACATGTGTTCATTACGCATTCTATACAGACTGGGTTTAAGAGCGAATAGAAATCAGGCCAGGAAATCGAGGAGACCAATAAGGGAGATTTTGCAGAATATGCTAAAATGTGCCGCGCGAGTCGCGGCAAAGTGTGCGAGTGAGCCTCTTCAGGCTACTGCAATATCCTTCAGAGATAAAGCCAGAGAAGTTACAAGTCTGATAGATTCGTGGCAGCGTCATCAGACTGCCGTTCGTCTCAGTGACCTGGTCAGGGGAATAAACCACTTACACCAATTGAACCAGCTCAGTGACATGCTTAACGAGATACCGGCACCTGAGCTGCAGCGCGAGGCGAAAAAAAGCTTCCTGAACGTTATCGGAAAAATCTCCCGGTACGCCGAGGCTCCTAGGATACTTCGACGGATAGCAAAAAGGTTCCGCGTAGCTCGAAATATGACAGCAATTCCCGTCAAGCTTCCTAGGGACGCGTTTTGTCTCCCATCGATCGGCACATACGCTCCTGACATAGAATCTTCCATTACTCGAATCGATCATCAATACTCTGACCAGAAGAGGTTGAGCCGGGTATATCACCTTCTGGGCTACACCGAGGTGCAATCTGTATCCCTGTTCTCAGAACAGGTACGCAGGACATTACGAGAAGCTAAGATTCATGCGGAGGTTCAGCTAGTCATTTACTGCGAACTGCAAAGGCCGACATTGTTCCCCCGTTTCGTCTGCTCAAGCAAAGACGCTTGCTTTTTATGCAGCGCTTTAATTTGCCTGCACAAACAAGTACATACGCCGAAATGTCATGGGAGATTGTATCCTGGTTGGCGACTGCCGTCCTTACCTCAGACGAAAGAATTAGAGGAACGCTTCAACAAAACACTCGAGAGTTCTATTAAGGAAAGCCTATCTATGCTCTTCACCAGACAACGAAAAACGACATACCCGCCCCCCAACGAAAGCACCCTCCTCACGATTCCCGTCTCAGAGACAACAAAATCTGGCCTAACGCAACTCGATGTAGAGCAGCTGTCGTGCGAAAAGAGCGTACAGCTACACTCCCAGACGGCGGATAAGCTATACAAAGAGCCGGTATCTGGAAACTCAAGCTGTACAAGCAATCCTTGTGGCGCAACATGCGAAGGCAGCATAACAGATCTAGGGTCCCCGTTTACAGCCAAAGGCCAGGCTCCAGACAGCAGGGTTATTGGCAAACAAGTGCTGTCGCAGGGCATAGTGGTGCATAATAGTATTGATCCCGGCGGGATTTCTGCATATTATGTCGCTGGCACGATCAAACTTGGGATAGAATACGTGACAGGGTTAGAAGGTATCAAGTACAGTGTTGAATGGCTCACTGCGGAAGAGATGAAGGCTTTGCAAAGTAGAGCTCATCCGCCTTTATCCGTGGATGTGGAATCCCTGACAAGTGAAATGTCGATATGGAACCACAACAGTGTCTGCATATTGGTAAAGGGAACCGCGTTAAGACTTAGTTGGGAGTCAAAAAGTACATGATACTGCGATCTTTACTTGGCGCTGAACAGTTTTGGCAATCCGTCAACTTCCCAGAACCTCGACTTTCGTCCCTCTACCTCTGTCAAACTCATGATTATGCAGTTTCTGAACCAAGCTTGTCCAGATCATAGGAAGCTTGGGTAGCTCCAAGTATCTCATAAACTGCCTTGATATATGCTGCTGGGGAAGGATGTTCCGCGCTCAGCATCCTGTTCATAGCGTACGCGATTGTGAGCCTCCTGTCGCTATCCATAACCACGATTGAACCACCCCATCCACTACCCCATGCAACACTGCCCTCCGGCAGCTTGCCTTCGACGATCCCCGACCCAGGCCCGGTGAGGTAAACCCCAAGTCCACGCCTCCCGCTCCGCCCCGTCACCAAATCTATTCCTGTCGCATGCTCTGTAAGCGCCAGTTTCACTGTCTCGGTCGACAGCAGGCGATGCCCTCCTTCCGCACATGTGCCGCCGAGCGAGAAGCAAGAGAGGATCTTGACTAACGCCCGAGCGTTTGTGTGACCGTTAACTGAGCCCAACGTGCTGGACCGCCAGAGCTCAGTGTTAGCCTCCTCGGCCGTGGGCTCGGGGTTACAAAGCGTGCGCATGACGATCGAGTCCTGCTTATATCCCGCCTGTTGGCTAAGCACCTCCTGGATGGAAGGCCCTGGTGGAGGTACGACGGGGGCCACCCGGTTCCAGTCCTCCTTGCGACATCCAAGCTGGAAGTCCGTCCCATCGCCCAGCGGCCGGCAAATCTCCTCCGTTACGAACTTGTTGATTGACATCCCCGTTTTTCTTCGCACCAACTCTCCGACGAGGAATCCCTGCGTTATGCCGTGGTATCCCATGGCGGTTCCGGGAGACCACAGCGGTGCCTGGCGCGCTAGCTTGTCGGTTGCCGCCTCGACGTCGTATAGGTCCTCCAGCGTCATATTGTCCTTCCAGGCGCTGAGGCCCGCCGTGTGGGCTAGGACTTGGCCGACAGTAACCTCTGACTTCCCGTTTGCTGCAAACTCAGGCCAGTGCTGGGCCACCTTATCCTCAGGGGCAAGCAAACCACGCGAGATTAGCATTAGAGCCGCCAAGTTGGTGACTAGTTTCGTGGTCGAGAAGACATTCACTACCGTATCCTTTTCCCATGGTCTCTTGGTCGATGCGTCGGCGTAGCCCCCCCATATATCCACCACGTTATCGCCGTCGAGATTAATACACAGACTGGCACCGATATCTTGTCCGGACTCGATGGACTCTTGCATTAAGTCGCGTAGCTTAGAAAACCGGGCGTCGCAGTGGCCTTGGATCTGAGCCATTATGTTCTTGGTGGCGATTGACCAATACAAGGAATGGAGCTGGGATTCAAAAAGAAAAAAGAGGTGATCCCTATGTATAGGATTCGTTGAAACTGCTGAAGTTTAAAAGCAAGGACTCGTGTTAAGCTAATAATGAGTGGGTGAAACTTCCGCATCCCAGAGGATCCAATTTCTATTTTTATCCCGTATATTACGAAACACGTGTTTTTGAATTTGACGTGCAGACAACAGCATTGGCTGTCTCTGTATCATTCAGCTTGAAATATGTTATCTACTAACAAAAACGCCAAGTATACTTTAACCCAAAGTAGAATAATAAGCTTTGGCATTCGTTTTTAAAATTGGAAGAAAGAAATTGGGGGGCAGGCTCATTTCGTCTGTGTATGTATACACACTAGTTTAATAACTGCAAGGTTACCAAATTGGAGTGGGAAGGTGTCTTGATATCCATTTTCGTGACCCAGTGGTAATCTTTTCTAGACTTAATTGGACTCAGTACTCGCTGCTGAACTACATAATGAAGATGGCCAAGCGGTGCCAAAAGTGGTACCGCACATTCCGACTCTCTTCGACGCTGTGCCAGAGTGCTGGAAGATGCGATTGTTGTGGACATTCCCTGGGTCAAATCAATTTGTTTGAGTTGGTGATAATGTTATCGCTATCAGCGGCGACTAGTGGCAGCTTCTTACTATCACGGATACGGCCTCTGCGCTTCGCAACAGTAGGACAACACGAGGGGGAATCTTGTTATCTAACCTTGCCATGCACAGTAGGGAATGTCTGCCAACTTGTCAGGTACATGTTGGCTTTCGTAGCCCCATGGATAAGTACGTCTTTTGACCCAGCTAGGTAAGATTGGAAGCCATCGGAGGATTCTTGGGAAATTACCGCCGGTCATCTACATAAGGTTCCATTGTCCCCCTCGGCTTGACACTGATGAATACCCATCATGTTTCACGACCGCCTTGCGCACATATCCCCTTTAATGCCATGAGCTGAAGTCGCATCCACCGTCTGAAAAAACCCGCATGAAGCTTTCCCTGCCCTGTTGCTTATTGTTTCGCCTACTCCAGAGCATCCCAATGGCAAGTGATATGTTAAATGCTGCGATATGGCTCCCTTGGATCATTTCCTTCCAAGATAAGGAGATGGATAACAAAGGCAGATCGAAACGCAGTAGCCTGCGGGGGAGGATAACACTGACCACTCTGGATCTGCTAATGCCGATCGTCAGTATCACACACCCCAAGAAGTGATTCTCTATCTCATTTGAAGAAGGTACGCTGAACAGTCTAGCTGGCGGTAATTGCGGAGCTGGATGCCGTGTTGGAGATTATATGTCCGCTTTTTCTCCCTAGAAGGCCTGGAGATGACACGGCCTAGACAACAAGAAACAATGTCTCTTGTTCACACCATAGAAGTAACGAGGCAGGTGACACTAGGGAGTATGATAGAGAAATACTGGGAAATCCCGCTCGTTGAGGACTCTGCCAGGTAGTCAATAAATATGGGAGGAAATTAACCAACCTCGAGAGACCTGTCGCCATATTAGAGGACACCGACATTATTCAATGGAACTGTTTGATCATAGTGGGTATATGATCCATATGGATCTGTGTTAACTGACATCTAGTACATACGACCATAGGGTGTGGAGAACAGGGCTTCCCGTCCGCTCAGCCGTACTTAAGCCACACGCCGGCCGGTTAGTAGTATGGTGGGTGACCACATGCGAATCCCGGCTGTTGTATGTTTTTGTGTGGAGATGAAGTATACATGTCAGTCATTATATATTGCAGGCCGGAGGGCATTTAGTTTTTTGGTCCGTGGCATGGTTCCACAATACTCAAAAATCATAACCGCGTCGCCAAAACGGTAACCGACTTTTGGTATAGCGCTTAACGCGACTGATATCCCCAGGGAGAAACCAGTAGAAGGATAGATAAATTTACACTATTAAAATGACAACCTTTCTGAGACAATCTTTACCTTGTACTGTAGGTGCTCCTCTTGGTCTTTCTACAGTATTTAAGCCTACCTTTAACAGCCCTTGTAGTATCTATCTGGTACGCAAGAATGGGCTATACATAGATGAAAGAAGGAGACACGACTGACTAATGGTCATCTATGCTCAGCAATGTGTCCTTGACAAGATCCTGCCAGCCTTGATTATTTCAAAAGAAAGATGACAAGTAAGGTTACCCCGCATTGCGTGAATACTTTTGTACTTCAAGGCTGCTTCATTCCCTTGGCGAGGCTCAACTTACAGTTGGTCAAGAGACTCAAGACACTGTCAAGAGATCACCAACAATCTTCTGGTTTCGAATCTTTATTATCTATCCCAAATCGACCGCAATTATTACATATACACTTATGTGTGGTTGCTTTGTCTCAGGCATGGGAGACCCACGCGGATGTTACATAGATTGTTGGTGTCGCACAGCAGAGATCCTTCGTGGTGGACTGGTCACAGAAATCTGTCTATTGGTTAAATTTACGAATCTCGGATACTTGCATAGCCAAATCAAGTATATAGACACTGTCCACCTTTGATCACTGTACTAGTTGTTAGCAGCAAGGATGATAATTAAACCTAGGATAATGGCGTATAACAATCACAGTACATGATATAGAACCCTAAGCAGAAACATCCGCAACAGACACCACTGTACCAAACCCATCGGCCAATTCCTTCATCACCACCGCGACCAGCTGGTCAGCATCAACACCAGGGATATCACGATCCCCAACCGCATCCTGCGCAACGACAACATCATACCCCAATTCACTGCCGGCTCGAGCAGTGGTCGAGATACAAATATGCGCCATGTATCCGACTAGAACGATCTTCTGGCCCCTCGCCCCCAGACCGCCCAGATACTCTTGCAGGTCAGTCTGGGCGAACGAGTTTGGGTGCTGCTTCTTCACGACTTTTTCCCCCGCGTTGGGCGTAAGCTCGGCGAACTCCTCTGCTAGTGCCGTGTCGGGGGTGAACACCGGCGCGCCTGCGGGCACTTGGTGGACGACGTGGACGATGTTCTTGCCGTCGCCGTTGTGTCGGTAGCGGGAGAGAAGCTCAGCGATGGCCTTGCGGCTGGCGTCGACGTGTTTGACCTGCAGAAGGCCCGAGGCGTATTCATTCTGGGCATCGACGATGATAAGCGTGGAATCTTGGACGGAAGCCGTCGAGGGAGGGAGGCCGATAAGGCTGCGGAATGACGGGGCGGTGGATGACATGGTAATGCGAGCTTCAGTTGTAGGTGAAATTTGTGAGGATTATGGAGTATGAGATTTAATGGACCCCTTGTTGGAGGGGTTGGTGGTTTATATGATTGTTGTAAGAGGCATTTGTCATCGATACATAACCAGGCGGGAGACCGAGTGGGATGCCGGAACCCCGCGGATGTGGGGCTGGTATATAATGTGGTTGGATCCGTCTCTTCAACGAGTCCCTCTAGTCGCCACCGAACTAATATCTTAGTGGGCGATCATATTAAGATATAGATACAAACAGGAATGCCGTCGCGGTCATTCTACTGTACGTACCCCGACTGCGGGGCGAATTATCGACGCAGGGAACACCTGAAGCGCCATGTGGCGGCGCATCATGAGAAGGATGATCGCTTTTCCTGCCCTTATTGCGAGAGCAGCTTGACTAGAAGGGACGTATGTCAGGGTGTCTTTCATGATCGTATTGCATCTAATTTGTGTCCAGTGACCTCTTGCGCCGCCATATCCGAATCTATCATCCGCGTAGGGACCCGCTCCCATCGCGAGTTCAGAAGGCTTGCAGCGCATGTCACGGTCGGAAAGAGCGCTGTCACGGTGGTTTCCCATGCAGTGCGTGTGAGAAACGGGGCGTCCCATGTCTTTCTAAGGACAGTGCACCGGAAGAACAGCGTGCTGTGGATGACAACGTGGAGATGATACTCTCCCACCGGGTCCGCCGGCCGAGTCCAGCACCGGCTGAATCCAGTATCCCTAGCCCTCCTACCTCGGGGGCCCCGAGGTGGGTTGCGCAGGACTATGTCGACATTTACTTCCGGGAGTTTCATCCGAGATGGCCGTTTCTCCACCGGGGCACGTTCGATCTATCCCACGAACCTTGTATCCTCATCCAATCAATTGTCATGATCGGATTATGGATCGAAGGCGGCCGAAAATCGAGGGACTCAGCAAGAGATCTACATCGCAATCTGTGTGCTGCCATTCGCTCTCAAATGGTGAGATTCCAACCCGCTCCCTTTAGATCCACTCACGTGATGTCCACTGATATATATCAGGACCGCTGGTATGTGCTAGATTCCACACCCGACGGAAATCAGAATACCCCTTGGCCGATCGCCACATTCCAAAGTGTGCTCCTGCAGTCCATATTTGCGTTACTTCTTGCAGGTGACCAGGCTGCATTTGATTTGAACCTGCGCTACTACATCCAAACGGACGAATACGAGCTGCTCCTGGCGCTCGTGCAGACCTGCCGGCGAAGCCGCATCTTCTTCTATCCGGCGATGCTTGCGCAGCACAGCGCCACGGCGCCGCTGGCTATGGTGTGGGTGAGCGTGGAAGAGATCAAGCGGCTGGGACTAGCCCTGTACAAAGTGTGTCGGATGACAGCATGTGCGGGATCGACGGATGGCGATCGCAGCCGTGGCAGAGATGAGCTGTTGACTCTGGCTGATTTGTCGTTCAGCATGCCTGATAGTGATGAGCTGTGGGATGTGGAGTCTGGCTCCTACCAGAGGACTGCTTTGCAAACCACCCTCAGAGATAATCGGGATCCGACTAGTTGGGTCTCTGCTTCTGCCGATGTACTTTACGACGCAGGCGTCGATTTTGACTGGATATAGAGTGGTACCCCGGGGAGGAGTTGAAAACACACCTTCGTGATGACATGCGTATTCCCTTAAGTGGGTACATATTGGGACCTGTATCATTCGAATGCAGCCAGACATGCCGCATTTAAAAACCATAATCACACATATGAGCACGAAGGTGGCGGTCAGCGATGGAGTTACATACAGGATTGACAGCAGGGATAGGTTTGGAATGAGTAAGGTAAAATTTGAGTGCCTGCGCTGCTTATGATGGGATATAATTTGCCGGCGTATGAGAGTTGGCCACTTGTGTGTATCCCAGTGACCTCTTTGAGTTGAAGTCTGGCCCTCAAAAATGTAGTCGTGCATTTAAATATAGTCACCATCTCTTCTCACTGATAGTGATGGCTCAAGTCGATTGTATAAGGTTTGAGAAAAGCACTAGTGATTGCCTACTGCCTCTAGCACAAAGGCTAGCCATGCGGGCTTTAAGACGAAGTGATATCATATCTATTCTTTAATCAGTTATATGAAGGTGCGTGACGTATATCTATGTAAGAAGTCAAGGGATGTGATGAATAGTATTAGTTAGTATCTCTGATTCCTCCAAATGTGTGCTGTGAAGGAACCCTCCTAATACAATGATTTATTCGATGATAATCCCAAGTCTAAACACTGCTCCACGGAAAACTGATATCTGATTTAACGTGGGGATTTCCAGACAAAACAATCCTCGGGCAGAATAGGGTGGGCTGGCTTGGTCTACTCAATGATTGGATTCAGCTTGGCAATTTGGACACGATTCTCCTGGTTTAACAATATACATATAGCTCTACAATTTGTTTACATGAACTGGATCGTCATCAATGACAGGAACAGCCACAAGAAAGATATTTCGGTGTTCATTATGATGCACGCCCTGATGTAGGTGGAAGATGTAACTCAAGCTTGTCCCAGCAATAACAAATTACCAATAGACATTGACGTGGAATTTATGTGCCACGAATGGGGACATTATACTGTAGCCATCTCATTCTCATGCTTTATTAAGGAAACTAGCTGAGCTCGTCTAGCTCCATGGAAATTTGTATGGTGTTAATAAAATTATCAAGTAGCTCCTACTTCCTTCCTAAAAGGACTCTTATGAAATCAACAGGCAAAACAGACCCCAATATAGGTGCTGTAGCAAATGGAACCTTGTCTATCCCTCTGCTAGTGTGATACAACATATAAAACTACCGGTCGCTCCACCTGGGTACATCTGGTATATAGATTAACACGCTATCAAATGGGGTAATTGTATTTGAGAATATGCTGTCATACTTCAAACTTTACGAAAAACAACAGGGGATAATTTCATCGAATAAAAAGTATAATAAGCACGGTCTCCTATACTCTAATCCGTCTCATTGGTTATAAATGTCCTGCAAATGTAAGTTGAAACCCTTCACTAGACAAAAGACTTCACTATTGAAATACAAGTGTATACTCTCTGGAAGTGATCAAAGTCCATTGAATGTCAAGATTACATTACAAGGGAATCAATTGATGGTTGCTTGACCCATATTACCCCTCTTTTGCATAGATGGATCACACCGCAACATAGACCAGCCAGCCAGCCCTGATCCCGGACAACACGACAGAATTTATGAAATGATAGGGTGGGAATTGAAGTCGCCCCATTCCAAAACCCAATCCACTACCCCGATCGTGGCCAGAAGGAAGTGGTAATGGCGGGAAGGGCCGTGCAAGATCGTCATCTCGCATGAGATCGCGAGAGCTACGCTCGTATTTCTGCAATAGCCCATGGCCTAGCTCTGCAGGAAGGGCACGATAGCGCTGTGGTATCTACCCCGCTGCGCACGGTGTCTTCGTATAAAACTCGGAACACGCGCCAGCTCCATTGTCGCTGGTGATACTTTGAACATACATTCTGCTGAAGATGGATGCCACCCAAGATGGCCCTATCGCGTCCAAATACCCCATTGCAGCACAGGCACAAGCGTCCAGCGAGGATGTCGTTGACCAGCTGTCCAGTCACGGATCAATGCGTGCAATCGAGCGAAGTCTCGTCCGGAAACTGGACCTGACGTTAATGCCGATGCTGTGGCTTCTGTACATGCTCAAGAATCTGGATAAATTCAACATCTCGTGAGACTTGGCTCTAAACACCAAGCACAGAGCGCTATCACCTATTGACACTTGTTTACAGACAGGCAAAGCTCAGCTCCCTTGAAGACGACCTTGGTATGCACGGCACGCAGTACAACACCGTCGTGGCAATGGCCACGGTCGGGTACATCCCGATGATGATCCCGAGCAATATGCTGATTACGCGTGTCCGCCCCTCGCTGTATCTGTCGACCTTTGCCACGCTGTGGTCCATTATCGCGACCACCATGGCCGCCTGCGAGACCTACTCCCAAATGGCGGGGACGCGCTTCCTGCTCGGTCTGTTCGAGGCGCCCTTCTCCCCCGGCGCGCTGTGGCTCATGTCGTGCTGGTACACGAAGCAGGAGCTGGGGCTGCGCGTTGCGGTGATGCACTCGGGCTCGATCATGGCGTCGTCGTTTGCCGGGCTGATCGCTGCGGGCGTGTACTCCAAACTCGAGGGCCACAGAGGCCTCGGCGGCTGGCGGTGGCTGTTTATTATCGAGGGGACGGTCAGTCTGGGAGCCGCTCTGATCTCGTTTTTTCTCCTCCTCGATACACCAAAGACGACAACGGGGGCGGTGCGGTGGGTGCTCAACGAGGAGGAAAGGCGGTTGGCCGTCGAGCGCATTGAGCAGGACCAGGTGTCGAACCAGAAGTCGAACCAGTCGGTCTGGTATGGGTTGCAACTCGCGATTCGGGACCCTCGCGTGTGGGTCTTGGTGGGTTTCCTTTTCCCGTCGTTATTGAATTCAAAGGAATACTGATCAGAGACAGAGCTTGATCGCCTGCACACAGGGCTCAACAACCGGGTACGCCAGCTTCTACCCGGCAATGGTGGAGGGGATGCACATCGGCGGCACCGTGGTCACGCTCCTGTGCACAGTACCACCGAGCATGCTGAGCGCGGTCGTCCAGCTCGTGGTCGCCTGGCTGAGCGACCGGTTCCGCGACCGCAGCGCGCCCATCGCGGCGTCCATGGTGTTGATGATCATCGGCTTGGCCGTCGATATGGGCACGACCCGCTCCGCGATCCGCTACTTTGCCTCGTTCCTCTACATCACCGGCAGCGATGCCGTCTTTTCCATCCCGCGTGCGTGGGTGGCCACGGCCGCCAGTCAGACGTCGGAGGAACGGTCGTGTGCGGCGGCGATTGTCGAGGTCATGAGCGCCCTCAGCTACATATGGAGTCCTTACTTCTTTCGCAACGAGGACGCCCCACGGTATCGACCGGGGATGATCATCCTGATTGTGTTTGCCGTGGCGTGCATTTTCTGCGCTGGGCTAATGCGGTGGATTTTGTGGAGGGATAATCGCAAGATGCTTGCGAGATACCAGGGCACTGGACAGATGCCGGTCTTACATATTTTGTGAGGGTGCTGTCTGTTGGACAGGTGGACTCTAGTTTGGATGATTCCAGTCCACGTCGCAGACCGGCTGAATAGATATCTGATGTTTTGTGGGAAGTGCACGATGATAGCTGGGAGTATGACCGATGGCCATATGTCCATGGAATATAGTGAGCGTAAGGGAAGACATCGGAGATTTTATTCGTAGGAAAACACCATGATTCTATTCCGTTTAAACCATCTTATTAGGAAGATAGCCCCGTGGTCTGGAACATATAGTGGGACAGTGAAACGCGTCGGCAACTGTCCGGTCTCCAACTGCCGCTCTCTCCATATCTAATCCGAAGCAGTGGATTACGAATGACTCTGTCATACAGTGGGCGAGACAGCACAATAACCCTGTCCGGCCCTGCCAAACATCCGACAGGTGGCGTCCTCAAAGTCGGACAACCGTTTCATGATCCACATGTGTGGGTTCCCCTCGAGTGTCTGATACTCCACACTCGCCGATCTTGTCTGACCTGACCGCAGGGCCCATGTGGAATCCCATCCGTGGCTAAAAGCGCAAAATTCCGGTGTGATTATATTGGTTAAAGCTTTGCTGCCGTGGCGGATCAGTTGATTTCATTTGGACTTGCTATATACTTTGGTAGAGTTTGATTAGGGGCGGCTGCAGAATGTGACTGTTGCCAGACTATATGCTTTGTTGCTAGAGATGTAGAACGCACGGTTGTATCAGGTTGTCCGTATATGAATAACAGCATTTCAGCGTCTGCGATAAAACATTCTCATGGCTTGGACATTTACGAGACACTATTATCTGATACTCTGACATTCATCCTGAGAAAAGACTGAAGGTCTTAATCCGTAAACATGAGCATTGAATGCGGTGAATACTAAGTATACTGGCCGAGGCGCGGGATCCACCTCGGGAGTGAACGAAGCCCTAACTGCCGACCAAGTCTTGGCCATCGCGTGGTTGGTTTCATCTTGACGTCGGATCGATGATCAGCAGGGACGAAATAAGATTCAGGTTGATAAACTATGTCTGAGCCGGGGTGCATGATGCTTCGAAATTTAGCCGGTGACAAGTTCATCCCTGATGAACTGGAGTTTCAGACGGCATGATTCGAGGAAGTCGACTGGACGCGTTCCGAACAGCATCATTCACACCCGCAGCCAGACGAAAGAAATCATCAGGATGGCTGACCCATCCGTGCGCTGGAGCGCTTGATATAAAAACGAGCTGATGGCCGCGAGTCTCTTGTTGTTTCCGACTGTCAACTCAACCAGACAAATTCAAATCCAGTCATCAGAATCATTCTATACACCATGGTCCGTTCCATCCTCCCGACCCTCGCCCTGAGCCTCCTCACCACTGCCCATGCAGCCAACTCCCCCGGCTGCGGCAAGGAGCCCACCCTCACCAGTGGCATCCACAACATCGATGACCGCGAGTACATCCTCGAGGTGCCCGAGGGCTACGACTCGAGCAAGCCCCACAAGCTCATCTTCGGCCTCCACTGGCGCGGCGGCAACATGAACAACATCGTCGACGGCCAGAGCGTCGAGCCCTGGTACGGGCTGGCGACCCGCGCCGAGGGCAGCGCCATCTTCGTCGCCCCCAACGGCCGCGACGCCGGCTGGGCCAACAACGGCGGCGAGGACGTCGCCCTCATTGACGCCATCATCGAGCAGGTCGAGGCCGACCTCTGCGTCGACCAGACCGCCCGCTTCTCCACGGGCTTCAGCTGGGGCGGCGGCATGAGCTACGCGCTGGCCTGCGCCCGCGCCAGCGCCTTCCGCGCCGTCAGCGTCCTCAGCGGCGGCGTCATCAGCGGCTGCGACGGTGGCACCGACCCCATCGCTTACCTCGCCATCCACGGCATCAACGACGCCGTGCTGCCCTTCGACGGCGGCGTTGAGCTGGCCAACCAGTTCGCCCAGAACAACGGCTGCCAGCCGGCTGAGGTGGCCCAGCCCGCGCCCGGCAGCGGGCAGTCGGCGCGGACGGACTATGAGTGCTCCGAGCGTCCGGTGTCGGTCATCGCTTATGATGGCGGCCACGACGCCGCCCCGCTGGGCGTGGGAAACCCGCTGGCTCCCGATGCGACCTGGGAGTTCTTCAACGACGCGTGAAAGGGGCGAGGGGACCCTAGAGGGTGAATCTATTTCGCGGAATTCACACTTGGCCGTTTTGTGATCATCTTTGTATATGTATGTACTACGGAACGAAACAGAAAGTGACCATGGGTCTACAGATTGTCAAATTCAGGGTAAAACAAATCCATCATCGCTTCACTACTTTGTCCCCCCCTTCCCTGCCTCTCCAGGCCTAGAGTAAATCCCGCAGATCTTCGATCAGTACAAACCCTTTTAGCGCCACGTATGTTTCAGTGCTCGCCGACCATTTTGAGAACCCGACTACGGCCGGCTCAGTAAGAAGCACCACTCGATGTCCATCAAGCGTCGTCTCTCCTTTTTTATAATCGATGTCATGTAGGGGCCAGGCCTTGACGCTCTCGGACGCGTGGTGAAACTGAGGCGCCAGGTTGGAAAGATCGTAGACCTCCATGAAGGTAGCGTCACTAGAAATGAGCGTTGCTGTCTGAGCCGCGTTTTCAAACTGAGCGCCGAGGCTGTCCACCCGCTGTATTTCATCGAGCGGGAACTCGGGCTCTCGAAGAAGCAATTGGACGATCGGATCAGCCAGCAGAGTGGAGACAAAGCGTCTGCTTGCAGCATTCCTATGCTCGCGCATCTGCTTTCCAAAGGTCACATCCAGCCCTTGGTCTCGAGTCACGGCGTTGCAAAGACGGAAAGTCATGGTTTGCCAGGCACGGGCATAGTCTAGACCGACTGGAAAAAGACCACATTCTATGAGTATTTGGAAGAACAAAATACGCAAGGCTATCGATATAAGAAAGGGAAAAGATACCTTTCGCGAATATCTCATAAAAACGTTCCAACTCATCCACAAGAATGGTGTCCTTGTGCAGCGCAGATTTACCACGGTCAGCCGGGTCGGGCCTGGTAGTCATAGACCAAAAAGGGCGCTTGAAAAAATGCTTGACGATGAATTTGATCAGATACGCTGCGAGGAATAGATGTGGAACGTGATCACGAATGGAGGGAGAAATGTGCGACAGGAGTGTGTCATAGTCCTCCTGCAAGCAGTAACCGTCCAGACTGGCAATCAGCTGGCTCTTCTGCTCCTTGGTCAAGCGGTCAAGAGCCTGGATTTCAACATGACCGTGTCTGAAAGCCCACTGGGTGGCGCAGTGGAATATCATGCCCATCAAATGCGGCCATTCGTCGATCGCTCCGGCGCGCCAACAAACAAAGTTTCCATGTATGTAGGAATTTGCAACCCTCATCTTGCCGATATTCTTCCTGAGGTTCTCGATTATTTTTTCAAGTCTTTGGATTATCTCCTCCGGCGTTTCCTCTTTAGGAGGAGGGTGGTTCACTTCGACTTTCCACGTGGTTACCGGGAACATCTTGGCTCTGAGACGGCTAGACCTTCGCTTTGGTGCAGCTGGCTCTTTCGGTGCCTTTCGCTTGCGGCTTGGTTGAGAAGAAAGGGAAGGAGGAGGGGGCTGATTGAATTGTGTGTGAGTAGCGTCCATAGGGAACGGGTGTTTCCTCGGATTTATGGTCTCGTACCTGGATCCCGTCAGGGAGTGGTTTTCGTTTGCCAGCCTTCGCCATGATCCCCAAATCCACGGGTTGAGGGATGTTTGGTTGGATGAGTGTTTATCTAGAGGCAGCCAAAGTAATGTGTCTATCCGAGACAGTGATAGAAAACGCCAGGTTTCGGATGTCTTTAAGTACCCATGCCTGTCCCCTCTGATTCAGGCTCCTTGTCCTGAACATGTCTCACGAGACCCTGTGCCACCATCTGCTTTCTTCGCACCCCGCTGACCGCGCCGGATTATTGCTTCATTGTCTTACCTTTTGCTTTATCCGGAGAAAACGGGGTTTGATGGGCAAGTGGCGGTGGGTGGGAAAGGGGTGTTGGGCTTGGTGTCTTTGTTTACCTTGTCGGATACGGGACATGTACCACGGCACCCCGCAGTGGCAACAAACAGCATCAATAAAACCCAGGAATAGAAGCTGCACTGTGATTGCACCTTCCTCAGAAATCTGCAGGGGCTACGTGGCTTACCCGAAACACAATGAAAGGGGAGCAGAGCAAGCCGCATTTGTCCGGGGGGATGCCACAGACTGCGGGCAACGCAAGACACTATGACGGTGAGCGATGTAAGACATCACGATGGTGGACGATTGTCTGGCTAGTCTTTGGGGTTATGGGAATAAGATGACCATGACTAGTTGCAGGAACCTTTTCACCATGAGGGGTGTGATCAAAAGAGTTAAAAAGCCCTGCTATCCAGCCGGCAAAAGCACACCGCTGGAGATGCTCTACAAACAGCATCGATTCACATATCTATCAGAAATAGTACCATCGTATCCATCTACCAAGCCCCTTCCCGATGTCTTCAGTTTCGCCGCACCGTAAGATCATCGTGGGTGTGGACTATGGGACGACCTGTACAGGTAAGACCACACAAGCGTCTGCCAAAAGCAGCCAGGATTGCTCATTTAAATCCACGCGCACGTTTTAGGTGTCCACTTAATCGATACTCTGGCGTCGGCGGAAGCCTCTCAAGCCATTTTTGACTACATTACGGACTGGCCCCGAAACTTCGCACAAGCCAAGGTGCCATCTAGAATCGCCTACACCGAGCCCAATGAGGGTGGTTCACCACAATGTCGGGCCTGGGGCTTTGAAGTTCGACCGGGAATGGCTTCATGCTCGTGGACCAAGCTTCTACTTGATGTCGATGCAAATCTGACCAATTTTGATGATGATGCGTTAAACCATGCCGCTGCATTGGGGATTTTCCATCTGCCCGCTGGAAAGGCGCCTGTGGATGTGGTCGCGGACTATCTGGGCCACATATACCGGCAAACGGGGAAAGCACTGAACAAGATCATTAAAGATGATCTCAAAACTCTCCCCGTGGAATTTTGGTTCGCAGTCCCGGCAGCCTGGTCCGAGCAGGCCCAGATCAAGACCGAAGAAGCAGCAACTCGGGCAGGGTTTGGACAGAGCCCGAATCACGGCCTTTTCATCACGACAGAGCCTGAAGCGGCTGCGAAGGCTGTCTTTCAAAGATACCCAGCGGATTTTGAGGTATGTCAAACATGGATTTTCCCGGAAGCCAGCCATTAACTTGACAGATCGGAGATGGTGTGTTGATATGTGATTGTGGGGGTGGCACCGTGGTAAGATATTTCTCCTGTCCGAGACATGACTGTCACCCATTTTGTCTATCTTTCGACTGATTGATCTGCTTAAGGATATTGCAACCTATTTAGTGACCGGTATCTCTCCTACCCTCCACGTTCAGAAGATCACCGCAGTCCAAGGTATACTTCGTTACTACTCGGCTACACATGGACGAGGCTGATAGTCTATAGGAGGTAAATGTGGCGGCACGGCCATCGACAGCCGATTTTATCAACTTATGACCACTCGCTTCGGATCTGCTTTTGAAGACTTGCCTCGTAGGCTAGTTGCGCCGGGGAGCGATTTCATGAATGCGTTTGAGAAAGCCAAACATAGGTTTAGTGGCGTGCCCGGAGATGCAGTCCGTCTCCTGTTGAAAATGAAATCAAACCACCATGACGCTCGGCATTATAGTTTAGGAGCTATTCTCCTCTCCTGCGGCGACTTCCAAAGCTTATTCGACCCAGTGGTTACAAGAATCATCAAACTAATCGACACGCAGCTCAAAGCTGCCGACAAAGCGCGTGGTTATCCAGTGATAAATGTAAGTGCTATCCATAAGATTCTGCCGAGGAAGGAATTTAATTATTTTCGAATGTTAGAAGATAGTCATTGCTGGGGGATTCGGTGCCTCGCCATACCTCCAGAGGGCACTTCGACGCTATCATCAACCCGGAAAGCTATTAGTGACTATACCAACAGAACCGTACTGCTACCCACCTTCCCTATACGAAATTGCCACAATTTGGATGCTGACAGCAATGTAGGCAATTAGCCGTTGCTACTGGGGCTGCTTTGTGTGGTCTGCATGGACATACCACCGTGACCCAGCGCTGTCCCCAGCACTATGGGTTTGAAACTTCCCGGCCATTGGACGCTGACACTAACCCGGATCATACTACTGGTTGGGACATGTTTGACGAGGGGACGGTTGTCAATGGTATGGTCTCTTGGGTTTTCAGGAAAGTATGCTCATCTAGATTCCGCTCCCCTATAACGCAGACACTGATAAACCTCCCACTCTAGGATAAACGATACCCCCAGGGACACCGTCATTTGCAAAGCCTTTCCTGGATCTATCAACCGGGGGACCTGTTGACGCCACCCATCTCAATATATGCCTGTAGACTACCATTTCCCCCGACTACAATCGACCATAGTGGTAAGGTTAGGTCCCTCCATCGAGAAAACCAGGTCACTGATGAGACCATTAGCGGTGTGTCTCGTCGGTCAGGTTCTGGCTGATTTTACTCAACTCAACCTGGACGAGTTTAACCATAGGATGATTGATGGCCGAATGATGTATCGTTTTGAATGTCATGTCGAGACCACATTCGACGCTGAGCGTAGCATGCTCCAATTTGCAGTGCAGGCCTTGGGCAAGACCATTGGAAACGGAAGTTTGGAGATGCGTGATATAGACCTAAGAAGGAGACCATGGGCTCAGTCGGAGTAGAATAGAGAATTTCCCTTAGCTGTCTATCTCCATAGGCTGGACAGGGGCCCTGTATGTTGGAAGATGTATTGTTGCATAAGGAGTTGGCAGCTTCAGCTTTAGCTTGTTGATGCTTTCATATCCTACGGCGCAGTCTTCAATGGCAAATAATTGTGGCAATGGCGAGTGAGATATGCTAAAATTTCAAGAGATAATGTCGAAGATTATTAATCGATAGCTCGCAAGACTGTTTGGGGGGTAGCTTAGCATGCAATTCTTTGCGAGTATATTATATTAATAGATCATATCCTACGAAGAATTAAGGGAAGGGAATAAAAAGATGCAACGAAGATGACGGATCCACTATAAGTAGTGATGATAGTGTCGAATTCTTAGATATCTAATTATGGCAACCTAGTCACTGCATGTCGTGAATTTTACCTTTTTAGGTTTGCACGAGCCGGGAATGGCCCTTTACCAGTGAGATATCTGCTTCCCCACAGAAGTACCATTCAAGAGCATTCTATGCCAATAGACTGCCCACACTTTGCATATTCAATTATCGATGACTTTGTCTCTCGTATAGACAACTTGATACGTCCTGGTGGATGTATTCCACATTATACGGGGAGCGGGGCGGGGTTTTTCCCATTGCCTGGAGTATAATAAGAAAAGTAGAAATATGCGACCAAGCAATGTGGACGATGGGTTCCTAAGTCTTCTTTTTCGACCCCTTTAGCTATGTGGTGGGGATGCTTACCCCCGGCTTATATCAGATGTGGAGCCGCTCTTGACGTGTGGCCCGGTTTCTGGTCAAGAATTCCCATCACATTGGACATACCCAACTCGTTGGCAGTGTCCGATAAATCTGATTCCTGGTCAGTGAGGCGGGTGGCTGATGCTTATATCTGGTGCCAAGGCCTAATCGGGGTATTACAGGAGCGATCGTCCTGGAAAGGAGGATTAGTACCACCTAAACTTGCTTTCGGTCTGCTTCATCTGTCTTGATTGGCAGTTTATTGGAGGGCCAGGATTAATCAGATTTTAGACCCAAGATCTGCATTTGACCATAATGCCTAAGCTGGTATGGGGTGACCACGCTACTGATCCTGATGAACGAAAACCAACAGACGTAAAGCTAGGAATTGGCTAGAGTTCTTTCTAGTTTATCGCATGGGCCCTGTGATATAGCGCTATATTCGGACATCTTCGTCTGGCTCATTGGGGGCCGGATGGCGAGTGAATCTATCAATCGCAATTACCGTGGACTCCCCTGCATGTGTTACTCGAGGCGAAAACCGCACCGCGGCTTGGACACTCGTGACGTATACCTGGTTTGTGAAGGATTCATTGCCTCCTTGGCAGCGACAGGGACTGGAGAGGTCAACCGTTTTCAGATCGTCTATATAAACCCCTCTGCTCGAGGAATATTGAAGACAGTATCAATCCAATTCTTCCTCAGTCAGAACTTCCCATATTTTTGCCAAACAATCAGTCACTTGCCAAAATGCAGCTTACCAGCATTTTCTTCACCGTCCTGGCCAGCGTGGTCATGGTTGGAGCTGTCCCGAGCAATATCCAGTCTCGCGGCTGCCCCAATGATTATGAAGTTTGCGGTGTATGTATCTGATGCGTGATCATGGCTTTAACGTTAGCTAAGAGGACTAGGAATGCAATGGCACCTCGTGCAAGGTGGCGGGCACTAACCGGTAAGACACCTTTTTCCTGATTCTAACATTACCTGCTAATGACTTTTAGGGCCTGTGATGTTGGCAGCGTAAGACTTACCACATACATGAGCGCCCTCCGATATACACTAACTCTGGTTTCAAAATAGTGCGTGGGGGATGGTGGTGGTGACGGTGCTATCTGCGGTACCTTTGACTGGAAGAGTCCTACCATGCAGTGCCCTGGATCTGGTTAATGGGTTGATGTGCATGTCGATCTTCTGCTTGGGGTCTATATTTGTTATTCAAATGGGGCGGGGGTTGGGCTTGTGAATGCTCTTTCAACAATTGTTTGTCAGTGACTGACGATGCTGCCATCGATCTGTGTTCTTGTAGATATCTGAATTTCATTTGATACTTCTTATTCGCTGAGATTAACTGAAATAAGATATGCCCTGATACGGGTGCCGGTCAAGTCGTCAACCAACATCGAACCTTGATACTGGACGAAGAAAATACATCATCGGGGTGGGGTGACTAAAGGAGGCCAGAGAATTAAACGTCGGTCTTCCAACTAGTATATCGGTGCAAAAACAGCCAGTCGGTGGAGTTGCTGTTGAGTGGACAGCACCGGTCAGCGGCAGGAAATTCGGGTAGCAGAGAAACATCTCCCTCTAGATATAATGCTGTCAAACCTGTCCATCTGGGGGTTTAGCCGCCCGTTGTGTTTGAAGGCTTCATAAATTCCCCCTTCCGGTTCACTTTACCTAGACTGCTGAGACTCCATCAATTTCAAGCTTGTCTTGAATTAGGGTCATGTTTAATATAGGACGAATTTGGGGTATCAATAACCCCATTTGAACCATCGTGACTTGCTGGATCATGAATTTGAGAGGATATATCTTTACCGAGTTAGGGATACGACGGATGTTAGTGTGGTCATACTGATAATGAGTAGGTCAAAATTGGCTGGCAAATAGCCCTGTGGTAGTCCTTTGGCCCAAATTGAGTAGGTACAGTACGAATAGTTTTGGAAATGGCCTACAGGTCCGCAGCTAACATGCCAACCAATTGCAGTCACTTCCACACTAACAAGCAAGATAGTACTATACATCGAAATATAGTTCCAATATTAAGACGCATTTTATCACCACCCTCTTCACCCTCAATTACTTCTCTACCACCCAGCAAGCATGTGATAAGGCTGCAAGAGAATGGACAGAATTTATGCACGAGGGCGTGCGCGAAGAATGCAGGAATTCCACCAGTCATTTCAAAGCCTGTGTTCGTTCATTCTTACAGTGCTTGCCTAACAGGATACAGCCATGTGTGATTTAATGGGCTTTGCAACATTGTTCAACGGTGAGTTTATTTTTGATTCTCTTGTTGTTTCTTTCAATATTTTTCCAGTCATGGCATGTGCGAATACCGTTTCTCGGTAAGGGAAAAATTGGTTTGATCGTAGGTTAAATCTGCAGAAAACCAAGGAGGGAGCTAAAGCTGCTGCCAGCGTGGCAATGTTGAGAAGAAGCATGGAGATTCAGAATCCAGAGCAGGTCGATCGAAGTTCTTCCGAGGCCCACTTGCGAGCGATGGTCTCACCCGATGTACAGCATGTCCTCCGACTGGACCCTGAGTTTTGACGATACATACTTAGTATTTACGGAGACCTGTGGACGTCTTGAGTGGGATGAAAACCAGATGTGATCGAGACTCTCAGGGAATTTCTTATTGAAAGGGTTCAGGATTGTGGATTATTGTATGCGACCTAGACAGATGCGTGTTAATAAAGGTTAAGCCACGTGCACTGACAACTCATCTTTGGACCGTTTTTCAATATGGTTGAATTTGATGCTGGCTATAAGGTTTCTGCTGCTGATCTAAATTGAATTGGACCTCTCACTGACAATATATATGGCATATTATCTTTCGCACAAGACCATTACAGCTACGACAGAAAACTACGAGAATCGCAAAGTAGAGGGGCGAGAATTATGGATGCACTTGATTTGATCGCGAGAACGGAGAATATATCGGCAGAGGGGGCCAAGGGAAAAGTCAAGAGGGAGATACTCGAACGCGAACGCGACTTCGTGAAACGCAAACTCGCTCTCAGTGGGTAGGTAGTACTTGAACATATCAACGCAACAGCGGCGCTGGGTCGAGATAATGGGTGTTTACGCCGGCAGCTACCAATACTGGGCTACGGCCCTTGTACATCGGGGTAAGCATGTTCATACTAATGCTGTTGTGTGTTTTTTTTCTCTCACTTTTTTGTCCAGTATCTTTTTAATAAGTTCAACCAGAATTTTATGAGGCGGCTCTGTAAATATGTAACGGTTGATGAATGCCCTGTAATTATGGCTTGGTAATTGATTATATTTCGGGTAGATACATCATCGATGCATCGCATATAGCATCAAAGCTAGATATGATAGACTTTTTTTTCATGGTGTCCGTGTCCTTCCAATGGGGCCTAGCAAACATATCCTAACATCCTCGCATTATCACCATGCGATCTAGCCCAATAAACGACCCCCCCAAAAAAAAGCTAAAAGGAATGTGTGTCATCGATTGATCCTTGTTCAGCCTACATAATTCACCGAATCACGACTCGCTGAGCTCTCAACCAAGTTATTTGTCGACGACGAATCAGGTAAATCCCGGTCCCGCTTGGGCACACTCCTTTGGTAGACGACCGACGGCTCGGGCGCACCCGATTGCTTCCTCTTGCTCAGCGAGGAAAGTTGGACTGACGACTTGTACTCGGAAAGTGAGCCGCTCACGTGCTTGAGCCAGATGGCCTTGAAAGACGGCGCGTTGGCCGCCATTATGGCGACGTTCAGCTCGACGGCCGAGATGATGACCATCTGGCCGAGGATGTAGGTGAAGTCTGGGTTGACTGCGAATTGATGGAGGACGATGATGCGGAGGCAGGAGACGATGACTGCGATGCCGCCGACGGAAACGACGGCGATGACGCCTAGGCGGCGGGTTAGGCTGGCTTGGAGGGCCCAGAGAGGACGGATGGGGAGGAAAAGGATGATGAAATCTGTGAGGATGTTCTGCGATATTGTTAGGGGTTTTTGCTTTTCTTTCGAGGGAATTGGTCGGATGAACTGGAGAACTCACCAACGCAACGGGTACGTAGTAGGTGATGGCGGTGTCGAGGCACTTGGCATCTGGGTAAGCATTCTTGTTCCAGAAGGCCGCCAGGGGCTGGCATTGGAGGCAGTAGAGCAGCCACAGAGCGACGGCAATTGCTATATTCAATGCCATTGTTGCATATACGCTGTAGATGAAAGAAGTCTTTTGAGTCAACCGAAGATAGAAGAGCAAGAAAGCCTGCTTGAT